CTGGCGCAAACCTGGCCAAGCTAGATGGGTGCCTCTCCTAGATACAAAGCAGCTTGATCGTGTCGCCTCTGGTAAGAAGCAAGAAACTTACTGGCCTGTCGCTGTGGCGGACGATGTTTTCCACTGTATCATTTTGAAAGGAGGGGACCGATATCCATACTTCCCGCGACCTCTACTCACACAGTTCGAATTTGAGATACCGATATCGTCGACCCGTAAAAGGCCAACAGGTGACGATGATGGCGACACCGATATGGATGGAACAACCGCCAAAGATGCCAATCGCAAGCTTCAAGAGTCTTTTGTCAGAGCCAATCTCGAATCTAGCCTTTTGGAAGACTGTGTCGAAGCTGGAGAAGGTACTTCAGCGCAGGCTACAGAACAGCGGAGGAAGGATGTGGAAATTGACAAGCTCATCTTGCAAATGCTGGCGGTTGAATGCCGGGAAGGGGAAGAGAGGGGTATGAAAGCATATGAGCTTGTCACTTTGCTGCGAGACCGGACTGGGAAGATTCTGGAGGCAGCTAGCAAAGTTGCGCAAAGATATGAACGGTTTATCCTGGATGAAAGGATCAGGAAGCTCGCGGAGAAACGGCTTCTGGGCGAGGATGACGGGAATGACGACGATGATGACTTTGCATGATTTGAACTTTCTCTATTAGGTAGAAGCACAGAAAACTGCGCTGTCATATCATTTGGCTACCCTTTGAACATAATGAAGTATAATAAAGCGAAAATTGGCCGACGGCCGGACGAGCGTTTTAACTAACCAACCGATTTCTCCGGCTTGCTGGGCGGACGTCATCTCCAGAGCTTGGCTTGCGGCTTGTAACTAGCAAACCAAAAAGTTCTTTGAGCAACCGACTGAGAACACACGTCCAATCTTCGAAAAAGCCAGCCAGCTGCGCGGAGCATATAAAAAATTACTTTTATGAGGTGAATTGCATGTACTTTAGTCTCTCATGAACTAACACGACTATCAATCTCGGCGTTTCTCCCCTCCCACAATGCCCAAACTCCTCAGCATCCCATTCGTATCACCAGCATCTCCCAGGACATCGGCGGCCAGGTTCATCCGGCGCTATTCATCTTCCACAATCCCCGCAGCTCCGTCTCCTTTGCAAAGGACGCAGAGCCAAGTCCAAAGCCCCGCGTCTCCATCGCTGCCCAGACGATCTTTGGCCCGGTTGCGGTCTGAGCGCGAGACAAGCTCGCAGCTATTATGGTTCACTGCAGCACAGCCCACGTTAATGTCCCGCAGCGATGCGCGATCTTTGGATGGGAAATCGGAGCGTGTTAAAAATCATAAACCGGTTGATGAGCGGATAGTCAAGCTAGGGAAGAGTGAGTGCTGATGCAATCCTTCGTCTTTGCGCAGAGACAAGACTACAACCATTACCATATGGCAAATGGCTAACTAACATATTCTGTGTCGCTTCGCTCTTTTAGCCCTCCGGATCCTTACTGAACAGCTACCTACCCTGCTTGTCAATCCACTCCCTCAGGAGATACTTTCTCCGAATATCACCCTCCACCTCTTCCCTTCCACGCACCCACATCTGCCGACCGTAAAGGGGAGAGTGGCGTACCGCGCCGCCCTATGGACAGCTCCGGTGGCATGGGGAAGCGTCCCGATAGTTGGAAATGTCCGATTACAGATTATGAGTGAGCGCATGGTGCGCGGAGGTGCCATGAGCGACTTCAACGGTGAAAACAACAGTGGCGACGAAAAACTTGTTGTGCGCTGGATGACGGAGGGTGGTGCTTCGAATTCCTCCTCGAACTCTGGAAATAAAGCTGGCTCTGGTAATTCTGCGTCCGACGGATCAAAGGGGGAAATCAAAGGCACAGGTAATAGCGCAACATCGGCTTCTTCTGCATCGAATGGGACAAATAGAGGCTTAAGCGTACTACTCGGTGGCGAGGCGCCGATATTCAAGCTTGGAAAGGAGGAGCAGTTTACGGGATTGTTTATATTTTCGTTCGATGAAGAAGGCCGGATAGCGACGCATACGATTGAGCATGCGGACGAGAATTCGGGATGGGATCGAACTGCCAAGGTGGTAACGCTGACGGATTGGTTGCTTGGAAAAGCGAAATGGGGTTCAAGAGAGCCGTCGAATGCTGCGCCAGCGCTCGCGGTGGAGACGCCCATGGGTATGTGTGATAAATTGCGGTTTAGAGATGGCCCCCAGGAATTCCCAAAAGATCGAGCCCCAAGCGAGTGCGCAACATGCTACGACAAAAGGTGCTGGTCTACATGACATTTCTCAGGGTGAGTATGATTATCGTTTGTGGTTATAAAAATTGTTAGGCTTGGTGTTTGTGGTGTCTTTGGAGAAGTGTTACGATTCATTTTGACGTGACCCTGATTTCCTGGAATTTCTGAGCAGCTTGATGTTTCTGATACCGTGTTGATTCTCAACTATATGGAGTTGCCTTTGCTCATTGTCTGGTTGATACTGTGTCTTTCTATTGACAGTATCATAGTCCCACGGGGAAGGAAGAAGATGTATTTGTTGCTTTGTACATTATAATCTTCCGTTGGATGAGCACAGCGAGAGATCTGGGCGCTGGCAGAGTTCCTTTTTTCTTGCTCTTGGGTGACCGGTGCCTTGCAGATTATGCACCGAAGAAAATCTCCGCTATATGTATATCTTAAAGCAAAACAAGTTTTTATCAACAGAATACCTTGGTGGTTTTAAGTGCAATACTCTGGGTCTAGCCTTTGCTCCGATCTGACATTCCAGTATTTGAAACTTACTTAGCTGTTGCACCAGCTACTCAGACGTCAACAATGTCGTTGGCTGGAGGATGATATTGCCGGAGTTGCGCCGTGTGCTGTGCGGTGCGTGGGTTTGAGCTCGGTGTCGCCCAAGCTGGCAGCGAATCAGGGCGGCGATGCGGACAGCTCCGTGATGAGCTGACGTTTCGAACCTCTGGGGCTGTCTCAGTCTCTGGAGAGCTTCGAAACCCCAAATGAACGGTTTGCATATCACTTTCCTTTGTCTATTTAAGACAATCAGCTTCCGTCCTGGCTAAGTACGCGGCGACGCGTCTGGAGAACGAGTCCCTTTCGACTCTCAGCATAAATAAATACATCCATCATGGCGGCAATGAAGGTGGCCGCACCCCAGAGAAAACGGATCTTGAAAGTCCTATTTACCTCTCTCCTCTTGGATCTGGTAGGTTTTCGGAGAAGCTTTGCCTATTTAACTGACCTCCTTGGGCCCTTTGGAGTGCCCGTTAGCTGACCGCTGCGAAGATCTCTTTTACCTTCATCTTGCCTCTCTTCCCGTCCCTCCTCACTTTCTACCTGCAGCGAGATCCTTCGCCAACTTCCCTCTTAAACCGCATACTCCACTACCTCAACGCCTATAAGAATGCCTTTGCAAAGCCCATCGACTCCAGATATGACGTTGTTCTCCTTGGAGGAGCCCTCGGTTCTCTCTTCTCATTCCTCCAAGCGATCGCAGCCCCGTTCATTGGGCACATCTCCGATAAAAAGGGGCGCCGCACCGCTTTGCTCTGGTCGATGATGGGAAATATAGCGAGTGTTGCTCTGTGGGTTGCAGCAACGGACTTTCGAACGTTTCTCGGCAGCCGTATCGTGGGCGGACTGAGCGAAGGGAATGTACAGATTGCGAATGCGATTGCGACCGATATAAGTGATGAAAACCAGAGGGGGGGAACGATGGCACTTGTCGGTGCTTGCTTCAGCATCGCGTTTACGTTTGGACCTGCGATCGGAGCAGCACTGGCGAATGTTACAGCCGTCACGGACAATCCGTTCGCTGTTGCCGCGGGATGCTCGCTCCTATTGATATTGGTCGAGACTGTTTACATCTACTTCTGCTTACCGGAAACGCATCCACGATATTCCAAGTTGGTCGACAAGAAGCCTTCTCCTGAGGAGTCTCTGCAGAAGCAACCCGTCGATAAAGCACATAGCGATAAAAGGGAAACGACACCATCCTGCCCTCGAAAATACACCAACAACCCCTCTCTCCTCAATATAACGCATTTCCTCTTCCTCCTCCCTTTCTCGGGCCTCGAATTCTCTCTCCCTTTCCTCACAGCCACACTCTACTCCCAAATATCTCCCGCACACTCAGCAGCCAACCCTTCCGCCCTCAACGGCCGTCTTCTCTCCGTCATGGGCCTCCTCTCCTCCCTCCTCCAGGGGTCCATAGTCCGCCGTCTCCCTCCCCTGCTCACCGTGCGCATCGGGGTCCTGACATGCACTCTATCATTTTTCTTCCTAGCGCGCATCTCTTCGCTCTCCGGGCTATACGCCGCAGGCTGTTTACTCGCCGTGACCAGCGCCACAGTGGTCACCGGGCTCAACAGCCTGGGAAGTTTTGAGGCCGGGGAGGGTGAGCGAGGCGTGTTCCTGGGCCGGCTGAGAAGCTGGGGACAGGCGGGGAGGGCCACGGGGCCAGTGCTTTTCTGTACTTTGTTTTGGTGGGGTGGAAGGGAGGTCGCCTATAATGTCGGCGCTGTCGCGATGTTGGGTGTTTGTGCGGTTGTTTTTGGCGCTTTGAAATCCCCGGTGAGTGGGAACAAGATTGGGAAGAGGTGATTCCTTTTTTCTGAGGTGATTCGGATCATACATACGTTTGCATTGGTTGGATACATATACATACATACGTACATACAAAAGCTCTGGGATATGGAGTATCTCTGGCTTCTCTTACAAAAAGAATATGGTCTTGCATATTGGCTAGGTTCTTTCTTTAGACATTAAATAAGAATACGGAGTATTCAGCTCATAATACTTATGGTATTCGATGGTCGGCGGCAAATTCTATGCGTTCTTCAAAGAGTCCATCCTGCGAGCTTGCAAGCTTGACAGGCTGGCAAAGAAAGGCGACCTCGAGCCCATTGTGCCATGGAAAAAGCTCCCCAACTTCCGCAAAGCGCCCACTGCTGAGACCAAGCATTGCACAGCTCTACGGTCTACGGAGTACATTTTAGTTCAAAAAAAAAAAAAAAAGGGATCCATAATAATCACCTGACAACTCATATTGGAGAACCGGGCTACTCTAGTGCCATTGCTATTGATGCAGGACGATGTGAACTCCGTCGTAAGAAACCTCCTTCCTCCCATCCCATCCCAAACCCCAATTTGCTAGGTCATTTAAAGTACAATTAAAGGAGAAATAGAAGAGAAGACCAAGCCCCTCGATTGAAAAGAAGTTTGGATGTGAAGCAAAGGCGAAATGTAGGGGAAGACGGGGGGACAAAAGGCAAATAAAAAAACCGAATGCACGCTAAAGAGTCAGAAAGCCTTTCTTATAATTCCCTGTATTTCGTTCTTTTGAAAATGCTGATTTTCGTGGAATGCTGAGATGCGATGTTGAGATATTGGGGATTTTGGGGGGGGAAACTGTGAAAATGGCCGCGAGCAAGGATGAAGAGGGAAAAGGGCGCGAGAGAGAGAGAAACCGTCAATCGTAATCACAAAGCCATATAGATCAAAGCAAAAGTCATAGGAGAACGCCGACTGAACCGCATTGGTTGCCGGATAAATATTTGAACCATAGCTTAGAGCTCGTCGCAGGAAATCAATTTGGCTGATTCCTACATGACTGCGCATTCTAGGTTAGATGCTTTTCGTCTTTACTGTGCCGGCGCAGCTTCGCCTCCTTGGTTATGGTATGAACCACGTCCCCGCCCACCTCTGAAATCTCCTCGGCCACGACCGCGGCCACGGAACTCACCGCGGTCTCCACGAAAATGTCCTCGGCCACGATGGCCATCACCTCTTGGACCACGATTACGGAATCCTCGACCACGTCCACTGTTCTGTCTAGCGTGATGAACAACGCGTTCGAAGCCGTCGCCAGGTTGAGTTCCTTCGGCCGGAGCAGCTAGTCTCACTGGAACGTCTTCAGCCCAACTATTCGCAAATTGAGAGGGTAGTTGCGGACCTTCTTGTGTCGAAGCTGGAGGAGCTTCGGCTGTCTTTGGTGGAGTCTCAACATTCACCCACTCCTCGCCAACTTGGGAGGTGGTGATTGACGCCTGGGGTTCCCATGCAGCCTGCGCCATGGGGTTGGCAGCTCCATTAGTCACAACAGTCTGAGCAGGAACAGTCTCTGCTGGTTGAGAGGGAGCAGATGTCACGCCGTTTGAAGTCGGAGCTTGCGCCATCAAAGTCTGATCTTGTAGCTCAGTCATGCCGGCGTTCGCAAGGGTTGGGTCAGTTGTTTGGATAGTTTCAGCAGCGGGCGCGGATTCGGTTGGCTGCTGAGCCTCTTCGGTCCACGTAGCCTCAGTAGGAGGCATGTAATCCAGTGAAGCCTGTTTGACTCTCGAGTCTGATACTTCATTAGCATATAGAGGTTAATAATGACGGAAATTCCCATAATAACTTACATGGAACCTCAAGAAGCTCGCCTTCAACACCGGGGACCTTCTCATCTGCACCCTGGATCAATTTGTTCATTGCGTCCACAGCTTCGGGGGTTCCACCATAGACCTGGAACAGTGATCCTTCAAAAGCACGACTGTCGCTTGAAGTTTCATCTCCACTGCGTCTCATTGCTGCCGCAGCTCGCAAGAATTTACTGAGGGTCAGCAATCGCTCCCTAAAGTCCTTCTCTGCAGCTTGCAAGGTCTCGGCAACAACGTCCTGTTTGATGGAATCCAATTCCTCTTTATGAGCTTTGTCGAGTTCCTCCTTTTGCTTCTCAAGGCGATCGTTGTAGTAAGCGCCATATTGTTTGAATTGAGAGAGCTGTTCTTCGATAGACGCGATATTCTCTTGGAGGACGGGCTTCTTCAGGACTTGCGCTTTTTGATCGGCGTTGATTTTCTTGGATGTGACAAGGTCATCAAGGGACACTCCAGGGTTTTCAGCAATAATGGCATCCACCTTTGCTGTTGCATTCTAAATAAACGAGAAAAGAAAATTCTGTCAGTATCTGCTGGCTTTGAGAAGATGTCAGTGGAGAGTTGGGACTCACAAGCTTCTTGGTCGCATTTCTCAAACTCCTACGAGATAAAACAGCGTCAGCAACGTGTGATTGCAGGCCTTAAACCACTGACAAGTGCATAAGAACAGCCAAGTTCATACTTTTGAAGTTCTTTCAAGAAGGGAAACTCATGAGAGGCGCCGTTGACAGGAGCTTCGGCGGACGTGGTTGGTTCCTGGACTGGCGGGGTGGATGGAGCAGCGGCGGCCTCAGCCTTGCCACGCTTCTTCTTTGAGCTCTTAGAGTCCACCTGTGGAGCGTTGGAGACTGCTGGTGAAGACATGATTGGGACGGACGAGTCGCGACGTGGGTGTCGTGTGATGTGAGATTGAACGAGGAAAGGTTCTCAGAAGAAGGGCAGAGAGGAGAAGCAGGCAGCAAGAAAATGCGCGTAGAAAAAAGCTTTAGAGGCTTTAAAAAGAAAAGAATCAGAGAGGCGTACGAGCTAAGGGTGAGTAGAAGTTGGTAGCGAGGAGGAAAGCTGGAGGAAGCAAGGAGTTTGTTGTTGATTTTCGGGTGAGGCTTTGTGGAGTTCAAACCCGCAGCCTCAAGTGGACAATGCGGCAAGGTCCCTTTGGACCCCCAGCCGTGTGGTTTTGCCAGCACTCCGCTGGTTTTACACGTCTACTCCGTACTCCCAGTAGTTTCACACTGCTAGGTGCAACATCCAACTCGCTATCGCCCGTTTTCTACGTCTCAACTGTATTTACGCCTGTAAAGCGCGGATACTGGTACACTTCAACTCTAAATTCGATGCTTCAATGCTTCATACTGATGAGACAAACACAGATGGAAGGAAAACAAAATAAAAGAGGCTGTCTTCCCCCGTGTTTCACCTATCCCGGGTATCATATGAATTTCGTTATCGAAAGCCAGAACGCCAACACCCTGCAAGAATGAAGCCCATTGTCTGCGACTTTGCCACATATTTTCCGTTCTTTATCCCTTAAACTTCCGTAAAGTTCCCTAGGAAATCCAGACGCATCAGCAATGCTTCAAGGAGACCAGGATCAGTTTGCTGAGGGCGTACCTCGGTGACTCTTCGGATGCTTTTCGCGGATATGGTGGTCTCCCCGCTTTTCTTTGACGTGATTGAGGCCTCTCGCATTAACCTGGAAAACGGGACATGGTGGTTGTTAACATTGCACTTCGACCACCAAGCACAAACAAAAACATGACCGTCCAAAAACATTGAAGGAGGGTCAAGGTGGCAACGACTTACTCTTTCATGAAGAGCATGTAGTCCAAAAATATCTGCATAGTAGACAAATTGCATCAGCAAGTCTGATTCCAGATAAAATCAAGGCTATCCTGCTGTAGAAGCTGATTGAACACCGTGCGACCCACGAGAATGTCTGCGTTCTTGCTGAGGTTCTTCCGCGTATGGGCCTTGACAATGCGCTTGACTGTCGCCCGCGGATATAGCTTTGGTGCAACGACCATGCTTCCTATGGATAACCCAGCTAGCTGCTAGCACAATGCCGGTCCTCAAGTTAACGCCAGCCCCCCCCTTCTTGCACCGGCTGACCGCTGTTGTTTGGAGCTGAATGTTTGGTTGTAGCGCGATGTTCTACGAAAGTTCGAGCGCGGAAGACCAGCAAACAGCCCAAACACGCCAAGGATAACCTTACCGCTTAGTCATGCTTTTCCACAATGATGTCATCTTGGCACGAAGAGTTACGCTAGTCTAGAATAGGGAAGGCGTCTGCTGACAGTGGCTAACGTGAGCAGATCAGCCACCCTGATTGGCCGGGGGTTCAACGCAGCTCGCGCACGCAGAAAAAACAGGCGGGCGGAAGTTGACAGGACGCTGCGCCGGGCGGATGGCTGCTCTGGCTGCCCTGGCCGCTGATATTATTTACTCTCAGCCGGCTCGCCTCCATGCAGGGCTAAGCATGCCGTTGCAATTGACTTTTCCGTCGAGGATCTGACGTGCATGTGAACACAAAACAGAGCCTTTTTTTGCTTTTCCGTCAGAGGTGAGTGACCTAAGCTCCCGAGATCGCCTGACTGGGTCCGACTCGGGACATTTGGACCTCCAACGAGCAACACCCATCGGGCTCTGCGGGCCATCCTCACCACCACCACCACCATGCGTTTCGGAAAGACCCTGAAGTCCTCCATATATGCCCCATGGAAGGATCATTATATCGACTACCATAAGCTGAAGCGTTTGCTTCGAGAGCACGAACCAAAGTCCGACGGGGCTGACACCCAGTGGACAGAAGACGACGAGGAGAATTTCGTTCAAGAACTGGTGAATATCCAGCTCGATAAAGTAAATGCATTCCAGGTCGAGACATATAAGCAGCTTCGCGATCGAACGTCAGAATGTGAGGCCACATTGGAACCGCTGACTCTCGATGCCGACGTGAGCCACATCGAGGAGCAGCAGAGGGAAACTATCGCACGAGAGGCCTTGGAGAAGCTGGATGGGATCATCAAGGAGCTAAGCGAGCTGGAGAAGTTCAGCCGCATAAACTTCACGGGCTTTTTGAAGGCGGCGAAGAAACATGATCGGAGAAGAGGCGCCCGGTACAGAGTCAGGCCGTTGCTTCAAGTGCGGTTGTCCCAGCTGCCCTTCAATTCAGAAGATTATTCTCCCCTTCTGTACCGCCTCTCCGCGATGTATTCATACGTTCGCCAGATCCTCGATTTCAGTCCTGGCCACGTTAGAGATATGCCCACCGTTGACGCTCACCTCGGCCATGATGTCTATACCTCTCACAAATTCTGGGTCCATGTCGACAATATCATGGAAGTGAAGACCTATATACTTCGTCGCTTGCCTGTCTTACTCTATAACCCGAATACCTCGAAGGAGTTGGACCTGGGACAGGGCGACCCAACCATCACTTCACTCTATTTCGATAATCCTAGATTTGACCTATATACCAAGAAAATTCAGAGGTCAACTGGTGCTGGCTCCTTGCGACTTCGATGGACTGGCAAGTTGCAAGACAAACCGGAAATGTTTCTCGAAAAGAAGGTCATGGGGGAAAGTGGTAGCAGCCGCGAGGTCAGGATCAGCCTTAAGCAAAAGCACATCCAGTCATTCCTAGAAGGGAATTATAAAATGGAGAAAATCATCAACAGAATGCAGCGGCAGGAGAACGTGAACCAGGACCGCATAAACGCCTTGAAGAGTGATATTGAAGAAATCCAGAGCTTCATCCAGCAGAATCAGCTCCAGCCAATGGTGCGAGCTAACTACACTCGAACGGCATTTCAGATCCCGGGCGATGACCGTGTTAGGATATCCCTGGATACAGATTTGGCTTTAATACGGGAAGATTCGTTGAATCTTGAACAGCCCTGTCGTAACCCGGACGACTGGCATCGTCACGACATCGATGACAATGGTTTGGAGTTCCCTTTTTCCGACATCAAGGAAGGGGAGATCTCTCGCTTCCCGCACGCCCTTTTAGAAATCAAAGTGAGAGGCGACAACCAGCGCAGAGCCAGCAGGGAGTGGATCGCAGACTTGATGTCTTCTCACCTGCTGAAAGAGGCGCCACGCTTCTCCAAATTTGTACACGGGATAGCTCAGCTCTTCGAAGACCAAGTGAACAGCTTCCCTTTCTGGCTTAGCGACCTGGATACCGATATTCGTCGTGACCCCGAGATAGCTTTCCAAGAAGAACAGGAAAAGATCGCTAGGCGTGCCGAAGACCAGATGGCCGTAGGTAGCTTCTTGGGAAGCAAGACGCCGGTCGCTCAGCCCGTGATGGGATCTCCAATCGGTAGGGTTATCTCCGAAGAATCATCTGAGCATGCAAGACCTCGGTCTCTCCAAAGAATAGAGCCACAGCCCATTCCAGATGCAGTTGCTGTGCAGGAAGAAGGAGAAGAAGGGGAGTCAGTGGAGCAACAACGACAGCCCCAGTCAGAGCAGTTACCAGCTCAACCCAGTTCAAGGGCCTATGGTCTCCGCTCAAAGCTATCCCGGTACGCCCGCGCCCACCGACAACGCACAGCACCTCTCCCTCCAGGCGTTTACGCACCGGGGACGTGGATCAAGGATTCCGGTCCCGTCCGAGTTGAAGCTAAGGTCTGGCTCGCCAATCAACGGACATTTATAAAGTGGCAGCACATTTCCATTCTCCTCGCGGCATTATCTCTCGGGCTCTATAACGCTGCCGGCCCATCGAACTCTATTGCACGGATATTAGCCGTCGTATACACCTGTTTTGCGATTTTCGCCTGCGGATGGGGTTGGGGTATGTATATCTGGAGATCGAAGCTGATTCGACAGAGAAGCGGGCGAGATTTCGACAACATTGCGGGGCCGTTGATAGTTTGCCTTGGGCTAGCGGTAGCACTAGTGTTGAATTTCTGGTTTAAGGTGAGTTATATTAATATCCCCATGGCCATTATATCCTTATGCACCGTCCGAAGTATATGCGAAAAGGTCTCGTTTACTTGCATACATACTGTTGCCCTATGTTACACAGATGGGCTTTTGGCTTTGCCAAATAAGTGTTGTGTCACAAAACGAACAAGCATGGTCGGCGACCAATGATGCCTGAGCTGAGAAACACGTTGCAACTCATCTACGCACTCCATTCGCTTATCGGGCCGTTTCTTTTTTTTTTTAAAGTCGCACAAAAATACTAACGGACCAAACCAAAATAGTATGCAACAGTATGGAATGTAAAACATCCTCTCCCACAAGCTGGTGCCCCTGTGGTTGCCACGAATGCTTCGATCGCTGCGAATCCAGCAGAGGAAGCGGTTTTGCAGTTTGTTAAGCAGGTTGGAAGCTCTTGATTGCCCAATAGGAGTAGGATGATGGCACGAAATTTGTCTCAGCCGAAATGATGTGGACATGACATGATGCGAGAAATACAGCCCGGGCCTCTCTGATCTAAACCCTTTTTTTTTTTTCTTCATGGATATATATGATAAATTGTCAGATATGGAGCCAAACCGTAAATCAATGTATGCGATTGTCACTTGAGCTCATCTCTCTCTCTCTCTTTTTTTTCGCAAAAAGTCATCACCGCTCACATTTCACACCGAGTCCGTTGCCAGGCTAAAAAACACTTACAACGCGAAGAAGGACAGAAGGAAAGATGCACTCCTAGAAGACGTTCCGTTATTCGAAACTTACACTGCACCGGGTCAAAACGAGAAGGAGAAATCAAGCAGCCAAAACCAGACGAATGATGCAGTCACAACCAAAGCCCAAGACCGTCCAAACTGAACGCCCTCCCAAATGCTGTTGATCCGTCTCTCGTCCTCCCAGTGTTCTTCATGTCAGTTATTAAGCTCATCATACCAACACCAGGGACCATGCATTACCGGAAAATAGGAAAAATACAAAAAGAGAAAAGCATTTAAAAGACAAGTTAGAAAGACCAATAAACCCAGAATATAAGAAAAAAAATCTAGAAAAAAGGAGACTGAGGCGGGCTATTTAAAGGATTAAAGCAAAAAGTAAGTGGGGAATAGACCCAAAGGGTAGAACAGGTGCCTAACTCCATGCTCTAGCAGATCTCAACTATAAGTGAGAAGGGTATTTGAGAGCAACATTCTTATGGATATCCCTGCATAGAAAACAACAAAAGGCTGGCAGGCTAAATGTTTATGAGTCCTGAAGCATAATAAGTCGAACAAACAGGTCGACAAGTGGAGACTAATAATAAGTCTCATGCTTCAGCTCATAATTTGGAAGCTCATCGAACCATTCCGTTGACGGGTTGTATCGGAAGACTTTGAATTCAACGCCGTACGGTTTCTTCAGGAAGCCCAACGTCAGTAAGTGAATCGAACGCTTAGGCACAACTCTTCAGGGATTATATGGGGAACTGAAAGGCACTTACAGGTTCGATAGAGTAGATTGTCCCAAGCGGAACGTCCAGGTCGGTAAGAATCTCCCTCTTCAATCCAAGAAAGTACGCGAGTAACACCCTGGCGACAGATCGATGGCCAACAAGCAGGACATGGTCGGTCATCCGTTCGACTTCGACGATGACTGCACGCAGACGGTTGATGACGTCGAGATATCCTTCTCCACCAACGCCGGGATAGCGATAGTGGAGTTTCTGCCGACGACGTAAGGCGTAATCTTCGGGGTACTTTCCACGAATTTCTCTATATGTCATGCCCTCCATCTGGCCAGCGTTCAGTTCGTCTAGCATGCGCATCTCCTTGACATCGTATTTATCCTCGTTGAAGAACTGTGCAGTCTGGATAGACCGTTGCATCATAGATGTCCAGACGCAGAAGTTGAGGTCGGTCTCAACGTCATAGGGAGTGCGATGCGGGTTCGGAGGAGTGCTGTCGCCAGGGCGAGGTGGGAAATGGCTCGATTTCGCCTTGTTTTTTCGGGTAACCTCCCACATACCGCGTCTAAAATCAATAAAATTTGCGAGAGCGTGAGCATAACGGACACCGTTCTCGCTAAGTGGGGAGTCCCCTCCGATTTTACCGGCGACATCATCTAAACTCTCGCCGTGGCGAGAAATCCAAATCTGTCGAGGCGACAGATTGAAGTTGAGGAGGTAGTACACGACCTGGGAAGACAGGAAGCCGTTCACCTCAAATGACACAACTTTTCGGCAGACGTCAATGGTCTTGACATACGGGATGTTATTCGCTTCTTCATATTCCCCGAGAGGCACGTATGAATTTTCGTACAGCTTCACACGCTTCTTGAAGTCTGCCAAGGCAACAGTTGGATCCATACCCTTGTAGTCTGGACCAGAGAGCTTGAGGAGCATGTTTGATTCCAACAAATTCTGGTCCAAGCACTGGCTTTCCACGAAAAGAACGTTTAAAGCCGGTCCGGCCTTCGCACGAATGTGCTCCATGATAGTCTTGCGACGCTTGATGGTGCTGTTAGTAGCGTCGAGGATACCAACACTTCCGCCCTGGTCGAGAATGTAGTCTAGGAGCTCATCCAAGGTCTCCAGAGCCACCCTCTCTCTGAGCTGCAACGCACGTTCATTTTTAGGGTCAAAAAAAACAGCGGACTGGTCCATTACTTCCTGCTCTTCACCGTCAACGGCCTTCTGCTTCTGGGACTTGCCACCATGGCCCAAGGTCTCTGGACTTGGGACACCTGACTGTCCTTTGGCGGGCGTGGAAGGACCAACAGTCATCGGACTAGCGTCTTGCAACCCCTTTCGCGGATCCTCCAAAGGCTGACCATTGACTAGGATTCTGGCCGAAGGGACCGCAAGAGTAGCTTCAACTTGTTTGCGGACTTCTTCTTTCTCCGCGAGCTTCTTGTCGGTCACCATTTCACGAACAGAATCTCTCAGTTCTTCGACGGCTCCCGGGTCTTTGCCAAGCTCCTTTTCAGAGTCGACTTCGGACTTTTGGTCAGAGCTGTGTCCGGATTCGTCTTCAGACCTCTCTTCGGGCTCGTGTACTTTGGGGACCTGCAGAGGCTCCTTGGGCTCATCAAGTCCACCGCCGCTAGCAGCCACACGACGACGCTCTCCCACGTTGAAGATTCTGGTATCGTGCTGCAGCCAGTTCAAGTAGCGCGACAGCTTCTTGGTGATATAGCTCTTGCCCCTGGCGGGCAAGCCCACCATAACGATGACGAGTTTGGAGCCAACATCGCGCTGAGCAATACGGCCATCGGGAGAAACCTTGGACTTGGTTAGGCCAGGAATATCGAGGGTCGTGGCACGGATCTTTCCAGGGGTTGAGGCGCCAGAACTATAGGATCTTGGGATACTATTTCCAGATTGAAGCGTTAGCTTATTAAAAAAAAAAAAAAAAAAAAGAAAAAAGGAAAAAAAGGAAAAAAAAAAGAGAGAGAGAGAGAGAGAGAGAGAGACATGTAAATAATACTTTTCAGAGGCAGAAGTGAAATTAAAAGCAGTGGTTCACAAGCGCGAAGGCGTGTGGGCGCGCGGCTAGGCTGCAACCCCTAACAGAAAGAAAGCCTGTATGACCCCATGGCCAAGCACAAAAAGGAAAAAAGTAAAGCGGGAGCAGTACTTTATATCACAAGTGCAGACTGGGGAGATGGGACCGGCTACTCACATTTGGGGTGATGGAGGCGCGGTAGATACCGGAGTGTCAGTCAACGCATTCCCGACACCAGCGTGGGTCGCGGCACCAGCGAGAGAACCACCACCCAAATGGCAATCATTGCCAAGAGCTCTTCCGATCACAGTTTTCGTCGGAGGCATCAAAGTATCAGAGTCTTCCTGATCAGAGTGCTGCAGGAGGGGAAGAGGATGATGATGATGATGATGATGATAATGATGGTTGTTGTTGTTGTTGTCTGCGATGCTGCTTTCACCGTCCTGATCACCGTGCATTCCGGCAGATGCATTAAAGAAGTTTGTCAGGACGGCGGTCCTCGCAAGGTGGGAGTGTTGGGACATGGATGGATCCCGGGAGTGGGCGGCTGGGGCTGGGCAGTGGCTACCCTGGGCTTGGGGCTTGGGCACACGCACCTATCACGCCGTGCCTGTAAGGTTGGGGGTTGGGAGGGTCAGCCCTATCAGCCGGGGAACAAGCTTTGGCTAAATACCTAATGAAAATGTGTGGAGTCACGCAACATCAGCAGACGGAAATAGATAATAGATATAGAGTGGTTTCGGAAGGGAATTGGGGGGCCGGTGTTTTTATTTGATGAGGCTGTAATAATGTAGTGAGAGACGAATGTGTGGGAAAGCTGATTCTAGTGTAGATTTTACGCGATGGGCTGGAGATGTAAACAAGGCACTAGTTAGGTCAACAAATAAACAGGTATCAGCCGAGAGACATCTAGAACAGTATGGAGTGGAAGAAGCAGGATGGAGCAAAAAAGAAAACGGAGAAGAGGGAAAAAAGCAGTAGAGAGAAAAAAGAGAGAGAGTGTGTGTGTGTGGATAGGGATATGCGAAGTGGGTTTTCGGCTTTCTCCAAGATGAGGTCAAGGTGACAGTTGTGTTAACAGAAGCTTCCTCGCTTTGACACTGGTTTTCAATCATAAACTGCTCAAGATTTGCATTTTGCATATATCGTCCTTCACATGGAAACAGTCAATGATAATCAAAGAGCATGCCCGCTCTTGGGTTATGACCCAAGGCTGACCATTGTGGCAATGTGATAAGCACATATTTTTCCCATGACGGATATACCCGACAGGATGGTGTTTTAGAGTTATATCATACATATCTTTGATTACTTGCAGCCTAAGTACCTTATGCAGCTCCGGGCAATTGCTCGACCAACTAACCGTGGTTCTGTGTATCAAGATTGAGTTGGATCCAAGTTTTGAGGTGCAAAGGGAGTTGTGCGCAGGAGATGCGCCGCCTGATGCGCTGCCGATCCTGCTTTTCAGCGAAAAGCGAGATTCTCATGACTCGTACAGCTCGAGGCACTCTCCACCCACATAACTTACGCTTTAAATAACGCGAATCTTCTACTATTGTGCCGTGGAATGGAAACCGTGCCGTCATTTATCGGCGATCGCTAAGCTGCATGCAGAACTAAAGCAATACCCAGGGTAAATTATTATTATAATTACTCCGTAGAGCGAAAATACCTCCGTAGACGTGCATATTACCTTTGGCCGCATTGCCTCTGGTCGCACTGTAAACCGGCATTTCGGTGAGCTGCATTCAACCAGCTTTCTGTTATCCCGAACCTGAGCCGCCCCGGGAACCTGTCAAGGCCGCTTGACCGTGATGAGTCCCCTTTGGCGCCATCTCAGACGCCCAGCTGCTCTGGCTTTCAAAGCCGTCGAGAGCCGTTTGTGCTTCTCGCACCTCGCTCGGTCGTCCGAAAGCAATGACGCACCGACAACTTCGAATGCGGCTACCCCCAGACAAAGATAGCGCCTGAGGCTTCACCAAACCAAGTCCACCCATTTCGCCCTGAAATAGGACAATAACCCCCCCCCCCCCCCCCCCCCCCCCCCTTTTAACCAACCGAAAGATATTACCTTGAATCAAAACAATCTTTCACTCTCCGGAGGGCCTTTCAGCCATACAAAAGTTCATATATCAAGCGTCACGATCAACGCCATCAGACACGCGTACGCTGCGACACTCAGCGCCGTCATGACCACGACCACATTACCACTCGTCCGAAACTTCTTCCTGTTCACACCATCATCGTCAACCTCCGAGAAGAACGACTTGTTCCCCTGCTGCCGGCGGAACAGGCCGACAACCATCACGGCCGCTCCATAGACGGCGAACAGCGCACCTATGCTGTAAAACTCGGCGGTGAAAATCTTCAGCACGACAAGCGCGAAGGAGAACTGGGAGAGGGAGGTACGGATGTACGCCCCTTCGAAAGTGCGTTGTGCGGCGCGGACTTCAACGATTTCCTGCTCGGTGAGGACGACGGAGCGGGCGCGGTGGAGGCGCAGACGGTATCGTTCGCTGGCACGACGCTAGATTGATAGGTGAAATTCCTTGTTAGCTTTCCCCTCCTTCTCATGTACATGTGGATATCAAAAACGACTGGCTCTCGAGGGTGAGTGGGTGGTAGAAGTACGGGCGTGGATACGATGAAGCGGTCAGGAAATAATGTTCTAGCGTCGTATCTCACGGTAGTAACTTACCTCAAACATGATCGCCCAGCGAAAGATTAGACTTGTGTCAAAATAATCAAAAATAAAAGCGCTTAAAACGTGCAGGGTATAGGGGTCTTGCTTCTTGCTTCTCCCTGAAAGTCAAAAACTTCAATCGACCATATTATCCAGCGCTCTTTCTGCTTGCCTCGAGATGGGAGAAGACGTTGATCGAAAGCAACTGGGGGTTTAGGAGAGGCGAAAAGGAGGAGAAACAATCTGCGAAAGGCGAAAAGCCATCGTCACCTGAGCTGGCCAAAGCGCCGAAATTCGGTTCGGCCTGACATCATATTCGTACCACGTCTTCAGCAACTCTAACTTACCCTTCATTCCTCCAGCAAGCATAGAATTTAACGTGGGGGTGATTAACTCTCTTATCGCATTGTCTGCCTAAAGACCCGTGAGATTGGACCTTGGGCACGCCCAAGGCAGTCCAATTCACTCAACATAGCAAATAACCAGCTTGGTTCTCCTCCGCTAGGAACCTGTCGGAGAAAGCCCCTTGCCTGGTGACGCGGATGCAAGGTCTATCTGTTCAGATGATTTGAGACAGTCTCATAGGTTTACAGAATTCGAAGAACTTTACTTGTGGATTCGCCAATCCAAGTAAGGATGATTTGCTGAGTTTTACGGCTTCACGATCCGTATATCTTGCATCCTGTTTTTCCCTCATTGGACGACGGGGCACGCCACAATCATGGAAAACGGCCGTCTACGGGGTAGAATGGTAATACTTGGCTTGTTCGATATTTCCGAGAAACCCGTGAATGAAGATGGGCATGTTGCTGCTCACGTCTTTCCGTCACAAAGCAACTGTCCTGTGTGTCGGGCACCTTAAAAATCGGCACCGCTGCTATCCTATAACCATAGCTACCCAGAAGATATCCATTGAGGCAAGATTCGATATGAACCTTGAAATGTTTTCACTTGAGGCGCTATGATTCCCAGCAGTCTATCCAACGAAGCGGCCTCGATTGTCTCTTACGATTGAAACTAGCACACCGCATCTGCCAGCATCCATCACTTGAAAATCTTTGGTAGCAGCTATCTCGACAAGGCCATCACGGACATTAGTCGTCGCGAAAATATGTTGCAAGCTTGAGCCGAATCTTTTACAGTGGGAACAGCCTGGGCGTGGCACACAAGGTAAGAAAGAGATCTCTGCATTATAGTCCGCAGCGTCTCACTTGGAAGGTCATTTAAGTGATCGTCGGCGAGCTTTCAAGACTTCCTGTACCCCTTACATACCGAAAGTTCAGTCATATCTCGTCGACTGGCATTACAATTTCGTAGGCGGTTCTCGCAGGTTGATAACAACCATTCGCGCTGTGCTGTTTTGTTCAATCGAATTATACGAATTCGGACGTGAAGGGTATTTGCTCTGCCTTCCACAGGATGACAATATAACCAAATTAAAGCTCCCAGCTCTCCTTAACTTTTATACCTAAATTTTGGCAAGAAATCTTGAAATATCAAGCATGCCCAATGGCGGCTGCGATGTACGCATCGTCCTCGACTTCCTCTTTGTCTATTTATATAAAGAGCTCAATTCTCTCTGCTATCCACTTCGAAACATCTAGGCTTTGTGTCATTTTTGGGCCTTTATTGCATCGTCAGGCAAATCCGGCCTAAAAGATATAGGATACCACATGCGTACAGTATCAAAAAGGGGAGCTTAGAGGCTATACCTGAGCGCGTCCCTTGGTTCTCGTTTCTCTCGTCCGTTCCTTTAACCTTTTGGGCGGATTTTAAAAGCGGGATTCTTGCCGAGCTTTCGATTTGGGCTTCCCGCGCCTAATTACCCGTGGTCCCAAACATGGTTTTGGGCTCTTTGAACCTGGCTATCCATCCCAAACCGTCAGGGTTTTGAGGGCAGGGGACGCGCCACAACATCTTAGGTTTCCAGGAACCATACTCCGTACCAATACGGGAATATCCCACACAGAAGCGGTCTGGTGTTCTCAGTCGGTACAGATTTCCTGCCATCGCCAAGATATCCGAGCAAGTTCCCTTGCGTACCTTAGAAGAGGTGTGTTCCGCAATCTTCGTATCTTGTGGACCCACAACCTCCAGTAAGTCTGACATTGAATGTAATCCATAGGATGATGATAGGCCTGGAAGTGTCCACTGGGTCTCGAGCTCCGACTTAAAGTTTTAAGCATGAGCCTTTCACAGAACTCGGCCGACTTGGTGAGAAGGTTTTGCCCCATCGAACTGCTGGGGAAGAGATATGAAAACCCGAAGCTTTCCCCAGAATATCAGGTTTCGGCGCCCCCCGCGGTTGATATATTTTTTTGCCGGTTGAAGCTGGAAAACTCTATGACTTTTTGTTTTTTCCCTCTCCTGCCTGAATAACCTGCAAGTATTGCGATCCCTGACCAGTTATAATTCGCCGGTGCGATTGGGCTCGTAATTGCCCATCTCTTGCTTCGTTTGGTCATCTTTATCCTCCAATTGCTGTCATCGGCGATATCAAGAAATAAGGCCGAAAGTCAAAACGCCGATCAAGCAGGCGACGAACATCGGGAAAAAGCAATGGCACAAAAGAAGATTCTGGATGCAGCAGAAGGTGCGTGCTGAGATCTATTCATTGGTGAACCAAACTATTGTTGTCGATCGCGGCGTTGGCACAAAACGCCCTCCTGCTGACATCAACTCGCAGTCGCCAAGCACAACACCGTTGACAGCTGTTGGGTGGTGCTCTACGGAAAGGTTTACGATGTGAGTCGGGCATCATGCACGCTTCTGTGAATTTTATGCGGTATTGCGGGTTGACCTTATGTTAAACTGCAAATATAGGTGACAGACTTTCTTCCGGATCATCCTGGGGGCGCGAGTATCATCTTGAAATTAGCGGGAAAAGATGCTACTGAAGAATATGACCCAATTCACCCCAGTGGGACTTTGGAGGAGAATTTACGGCCGGAGGCTTGTCTCGGGACTGTCGACCCTACGACACTTTACCAACTTACCCCAGTGAAGACACCGACGTCTCCAGAACGTGAAGGCCCACCGCCAATGGCGTCTCTCCTTAATCTAGATGACATTGAACAGGTGGCTACGAAACAGATCAGCAGAAAGGCTTGGGGATACTACTATTCCGCAGCTGACGACCTTATTTCTAAACATTTGAATAACTCTGTCTACCGGTCCATCTTACTCCGACCCAGAGTCTTCATTGATTGCAAAAAATGCGACCTCTCCACGAGTATTTTAGGTTACAAGCTTGGTTCTCCAATTTATGTTTCTCCGACTGCAATGGCACGTCTTGCACACCCAGCAGGTGAAGCAGGCATTGCTGCAGCTTGCTCGAAGTTCGGGACCATGCAGCTAATCTCCAACAATGCTTCCATGACGCCAGAGCAAGTGGTGAAGGATGCAAAGCCAAATCAGATCTTCGGGTGGCAGCTATATGTGCAGACAGACAAAAGCAAGAGCGAGGCGATGCTTGCTCGCATCAAAAAGCTCAAAGCCATCAAATTTGTCTGCCTGACGCTTGACGCCCCCGTCCCTGGTAAACGGGAGGATGATGAGCGAACTAAAGAACCCAACAATCTTAGCACCGCGGAGATGGTCAAGGCATCCGGTGGAACACCGGTTGTCGGTGGAAGTGGCATCGGCAAGCAGCTATTCGGCGGCACGGATCCTTCATTAACGTGGAAAACGACGCTTCCATGGCTGGCGAAACATACAGATCTTCCAATCGTGCTGAAGGGTCTTCAGACACACGAGGACGCCTACATCGCATCCCTGCACACTCCACAAGTCAAGGCCATTATTCTCTCAAACCATGGCGGTAGAGCTATGGATACGGCTCCTCCAGCAGTTCATACATTGCTCGAGATGCGAAAGTATTGCCCTGAAGTTTTCGATAAATTGGAAGTATGGGTCGATGGTGGGATCAAGCGAGGCACAGATGTTGTGAAAGCCTTATGTCTGGGTGCGAAAGCGGTTGGAATCGGAAGACCAGCGCTTTTTGGTCTTGGAGCTGGCGGGATTGAGGGAGTGGAAAGAGTCTTGCAGAGTAAGTCTTAGTAGCCTAGCCGTCCTACGCTTTGTGTCTAACAATGGTTTACTTTTAGTTCTGAACGAGGAAACTCAAACGGCTATGCGTCTTCTAGGAGTTGAAAAGGTTGAAGACTTGGGGATGCAGCATGTTAGTTGCCCATGTTTTACTTCGAAATATGTTGGGTGATTCTAACCAGTTTCAATAGATCAATGCCCGCGCTGTTGAACAGCTCATCTACGATGGCCCACCTGGCTTGGATGCTTTCGGTGCCCTTCTCAAAGCCAAAATGTAAATCCACTGCTCTTTTATTTGTCTCTCCGGTATATATGCAAGCGCTGGTACTTTCTATTGTTTATATTCTGGGATTTAAAATATATAGTAGAAGGGACTGGAAACCCTACAGCTACGCCGATCATATTGATAGCAATATTACTTTTATGAGTAGATATGAAGCGAATTTATTTCGGCTGTCATCGCAAAGGGGGGGGTTTCGACGCTTTCAACGCTTTGCCTAACCTGCATGCCCATCTCTCCCTCAAAGCGAAAGTTTGGCCTCGGCGCAAATTCGAACCCAGCGCCAAAACGAGTGCCAAAGTCGACGGAAGCTCCATCGCAGCCCACCTCCAATGTCTTTTTCTCTTTCATTATAAAAGCCAAGTCTGTACGAACCACCGGATAACACGCATAAGTCCTAACTTCCATCACTTTCACCCCTTGTCAACAGACCCTCAAGCCGTCAATCATCGCAGCCACCACGTCCCGAATTAAACCCCACCATCTTCTTCCCTTGTGGAAGCGACTCCTCCTCCTCCCGCCCTTCTTCCGTATCACCACCCCCTCATCTCCCTTTTTCCGAACCTATCTTTCCCTCATCGATGCTCATCATCCGTTGTCAATCATGACTTCGGTTCCACCTCCGAATGCAAAAAGCCCGGACCGATCGCCCGCGCCCCAATCCCCGACGCAACCAACCGCGATTCCCGCGGCTGCAGGGACAAAACGAAAGCGGGGTACAGAGACGAAATTTTACGCCGTGAAGAGCGGATTTAAGCCTGGAATATATCACTCATGGAATGACTGCCTGGCTCAGGTAAAAGGGTTTAAAGGAGCTGTCTGTACGTCTGAATTTAACCCCCCCCCTTCTCCTCTCCTTCTCTCCTTGTGGGTGCTTCAAGCTTCAATGGGGATTATAATATATACTAACCTGGAGGACTTTCTTTTTCTTTGTAGTCCAATCTTTCCTTACGGTTCCAGAAGCAAAAGCATTCTTGACCGGGACTCAGGCTCCGGTGTCGGAAAGTTCAACAGCTACGAGTACCAAGTTCTACGGCGTACAGCGCGGCAGACAGCCCGGCGTGTATACCGATTGGGCAGTTGCGCAGGATCAGATTAAAGGATTCCGTGGTCCGAAATACCGCAAGTTCTCCACCTGGGCCGAAGCAGATGAATTTGTGCGACAGGGTCGAGAGCAAGGGAATAATGGAGCGGGTGCGGAGGCGTCGTCGAAGAAAGAAAAACTACGTGGCGCCCCGGGGATGACGGCAGAGCCGCTAAAGGATGAATTCGGGAATGAATATCCGCCGGGCACGGGCCCTTTGCCCCCTGGTGCGGAAGATGGGTTTGATCCGAATATATTGCTGGACCCGTCGACTGGGCGTTTAGTATACAAGACTCCGGAGCAAAAAGCTGCAACAAAATTGCAGGCTAAACCGGCGCCGCCGCCGAATATGTTGAAGATATACACGGACGGCAGTTCATTGGGGAATGGTAAGGCGGTATCTAAGGCGGGAGTTGGGGTATATTTTGGTCCTGGTGATGAGAGGTACTTTCCCTTGAGATGCTTATTCTGCACAATTTACGGACTAATGGGCTTGTTTGATACAGGAATGTCTCAGAACCCCTCAAAGGTAATCGTCAGACCAACCAGCGAGCGGAACTGACGGCCATATCCCGTGCGCTGGACATTGCACCGCGTCACCGTGATGTTACAATCTACACTGACAGCAAGTACGCTATTGACTGCGTGACTGTGTGGTTTGTCCGGTGGCAGCGCAATAAATGGATGACAACGGATAACAAGCCTGTTGAAAATAAGGACCTGGTCCAATCCATCCGAGCCAAGATTGAGGAGCGCACACTATTGAATGTGAAAACACTGTTTGAATGGGTGAAGGGTCACAACAAGGATCCAGGAAATGAGGCCGCGGATCGGTTGGCGGTAAGAGGAGCCAAGACTGGTCTGCAGGAAATCAATGACGGGGTTGGTGAGAATGAAGGGGCACAGGACATGAAGGACTCGAATATTCTAGAAGACGATGGGAATGATGATGCGACATGAGCCTACGGTTTTCGGTTCAACACAGCTACTTTGGTCGCGGTTCTGAAGTGGCATGTAATGCTGTGACACACAATATTCAGCTGTTCATATTTATTAATTTTATTTTTTGGAGGGCTAGTGTTTTCAGTCTACTATTTACCGTCTGACATCTATTGGAACGTTGCTGCAGCCATCTGACAGCTTTGGCGGAAAGTCAGCCCAATGTCAGCTGTCCCCATATCCCGGATTTTCCTGCAAAAAAAAAGGGTTCTTCAGCTCTGAAGGCAGGTAGGGGACCGGGCATTTGATACCCTTGTTTGAAACACTTTCGGTATATCTACCTGATTTTGCTTGGCTTTTGTCCGATTTGGGTCCTCACTTTGAAAATATTCGAGTTTAACATTTTGTTGTTTGTCATACAGAAATCTTCTGGGGCGCATGTGGACATGGCACCAAAGTTTAAAAACCGTCTTTAGACCTACCTATCCATCTCACATCAACCTCATTCGCATTCTCCGTGTATCTTCTGCAGTGCGCATGAGTCTAGTCACAAGAACACGGGTGAAGGGAGCGAAGAAATGCTCCAGTATGCATTGCGTCTGAGGTCGGGGTCCCCCCGCTGTGGATATCTGCAGTCGCTCTGGGGAGGCAGAACTCTCGGCTGAGGAACACCGCTCTCCACAAGCAGCAAAGCTAACTGGATGTTTGCCTGCCAGTTACACGACATCTTGGCTTATGGACCCCAGGTCCCGAGTCCAGGCCTAGATGAACCCATACGAAATCTGTCCTTCACAGGGCACCTTAAAGATGACATTGAACTGCACAGGAAACGCTCTTTGAACTCTCGAGGAGCCAAGAATGTTGGCGAGAGAAGAGGAGTGGGAGTCGGGACGCTGGGCGCTCGAGTCGGGACATGTGAAACCGCCAAACAGGGCTCCTATTGGCCCCCAAGGGCCGTGTGGGCGGAGACAGACCGGGTATCCTTCACGGCGCTGAGAGGGCAGCAGAGCGCATCTCCGTGGAGGTCGCGCGTCATCTGATGGCCTGCGGACGCGGGGTAAACAATCCGGTAGGGCAAGCGTGTTGCGGAGCCACCACCGCCGCCACCGCAGCCACAGCGCCCGCCCGCGCGCCAAGAGTCTGCTGACCGAGCCGTTGTGGAGAGGGTTCGCTCCTCCCCGGTGTTTGGGGCTGCGGGTGAAGGCGGGAATTTAACTGCCTTCGTTCCCTCGTCCTCTGACGGCACCCCTCGTCATCCTCTCCCATCCTCCCCCATCCTCTCCCTCGCATCTACTCTCCTCCCACCGATCTCTGCATACCCTCGTTGTCGCCGGGCACGGCTGTGGTTTAGGAGGCTCGAGCCTGTTGCTGCTTTGCCTTTTTCCCGTCTTGTCTTGTCGGTATTATCCCTGCTCGGTAGGAGTCCACGGCGAACGACGCCATCCGGATACGCGGGAACTCCCCGTCCAACCCTTCCATTCCAATAAAATCACCTTCCGGAGCCTCCACTGATAGATCTCCGTGGTCGTGGGTGGGATAGCCGCTGCGCAGGTTCCATAAAACACCCCCAATGAGCAAGCTAGAAGTCGATTTCACGCGTGCTCTGAGGACGACTTTATCTCAATAACACTTGCCGAACTATCCTTCCCTTAATGAGCGTTTATTTCATTTCGGGTATCTTCACAAACCAAGAAAAGAAAAGAAAATATATATGCCATTCATATCCCAACAGCCTAAGGACCCAGGCCCTGCATAGCATCCGGAGATTTAACTCGATACTGCGTACACATTCCCGCCCTTCATATCTAGACGGCTGTGATGCAAATTAGACAGCGTACTCCCCACCATTCATATTTCTTGATTGCATTAAGCATATTTTAGCTTCCGCACACTTTGTTCGCCCCCCAAGGGTTGCCAAGAACGATTCGAGAGCAAGGCGACCTCGGAGTTAACTTATCGTACGGCATGCCGACCCTCGCGGTCACGAACTTCAACGTCGTCTGCGCGACGTTAGGCGGCTTTGTCACCATTTTCGGCCTGGTTTCGCACCTTTTCAAAGAGAAACTATATCTCTCAGATGCCTGTAAGTAGAAGTCTTGGCACTCGCCTCCGCCCCTGTGCCAACTCGGACATTCAGCTCTACAAAGTACCCTTATTAATATACTTCGTTCTGACAATTATACGGCCTCTTCTGGCCGCTCGCGGCAGTTGTATCTCTTTTAGCTGGAGTCTCTCTCTCCCACAATGCTGCCAACTTCATCAAGCCTATTGAGTATGCCAACGGTTCCCAGGAGGCCCTGAACGCCATAACTCTTTACTTTTCCCGCCTGGTACTTGGTGTGCAGCTTGTCATCGCCGGTGTCCAGCTTCCAAGTCGTTTTTTACTGAAAGAATGGAAGACCCTCTCACTACTTCTTGGACCTGGCATGACCGGGATGTGGCTTTGTACTAGCGTGGTTGTCTGGGGATTGGTGCCAAATACGCCTTATCTCCATGCTCTTGCTGTGGCGGCTTGTGTTACTCCAACAGACCCCGTCTTGTCCAACTCAATCGTCAAGGGTAAATTCGCGGACAAGAACGTCCCAAAACCTCTGCAGCGCGTTATCATCGCTGAGTCTGGTGCTAATGATGGTCTTGGATACCCGTTCTTATTTGTTGCAGTGTATCTCATTCAATATGCAAGATCCAGCGGCGCTGATGAATCCGGTGGTACCCGAACAGCCATGGCATTGTGGTTGGGTGAAACCTGGGGTTATACCATTTTTCTCAGTGTTCTCTATGGCATCGCGGTTGGCTGGCTGGCCAAGGAGCTTTTGCATTGGGCCGAAGACAATAAGTATATCGATAGAGAGAGCTTTCTTGTGTTCGCAGTTGCTTTAGCTGTAAGTCATACAGCCCCTGGCATTATTCCTACGGTCAACATCTCACTGAACTGTCTAGTTGTTTATTGTTGGCACATGTGGCATGATTGGCAGTGATGATGTTCTTGCATGCTTTATTGCCGGAAACGTTTTCACCATCGAGTAAGTCTGTCCTTTCCCTGTCTTTCCCCTCCATTTTCCCCTGTGGGGTTTATAAGCAGCCTTACCAAACCAAACAATTTAATAGTGACTGGTTCCGGCTCGAAACGCTGGATGATTCCCTACACCCAACAATTGACATGTTACTCAATCTTTCAGTCTTCATGTGGTTTGGAGCGGTTTGTCCATGGTCGGAGTTCGTCCATAACGACGTCATTCCTTTTTACAGACTTGTTCTTTTGGGTCTCCTCGTCCTCCTTTTCCGGCGTATCCCTGTGATTTTCGCCATGCACAAATACATTTCGCAGATTGAAGACTTCCGACAGGCAGCTTTTGTTGGTTTCTTTGGTCCAATCGGTGTCAGTGCTATTTTCTATCTTTATATTGCTTTGGAATACTTCCATAATTATTTCAGGGTCGATGGTAAACTCCGTGAAGACGCAAAGCACCTGGCAGATACAATGTATGTTGTGGTTTGGTTTATGGTCATTTGCAGTATTGTAGGCACCCTTGTTTTCTTCTTCTATTCCACTCTCTGCTATCAGCGTCCCGGCTTTTTAACTAATCTATCCTATCCAAGGTTATCCATGGCCTTTCCATTCCACTTGGGAAGCTTGGCTTCTATCTTTTCCACACCCTCTCAAGTACCATGAATAAACGTTCGGACATCGAGCAAGATGCTGTCTCTATCCCTTTCCGCGATACTATTTTCGCCGCTGCTTCTCGCGTTGTTCCCTCTCTCAGGAATTCAAACTCTTCCAGAGCTTTGAGTCGTGGTCGCCCTGTACCGCCAAGATCAAACCTCTTTCGTACTGGTTCTGCTATCATTCCAAATGGTCGCAGTAGCACTAAAAGCTTGACGGTACATACAAACCCAGTTACATCTCCAATGGGTTCTCCGACTCCCCCAATGGCTCCACCAGAGCCATCGTCCTCACCACCACTGTTAGGCGTTTCCCTACCAACCCACAACTTAGGTGGTTATCCCGGTGCTGGCCAGAGCGCCAATTCTGGAAAATGTATGCGCGATACCAACGAAAATAGCTACGGTGCTATTGGCAATATACCCAGCCGCCCACGCCTTGGTTCTCTATATCATAGCAGTGTGGATACTATAAATTGTGAAGCGAAGTGACAGGACAAGCATTCGATTATGTTATGTGAGTGTTCAGCTCTTGCTTGATCTGACTACGTGTAGGAGTTCCAGTATGCAAGATGAATATTCTTGGGTAAGATACGACCATGTTAGCATTAGATTCCAATTAAGATTAGATTGGTTTGATAGATTACATTAATTGGATACATTTACTTTTGGACTACACAATAGTGCCAATGGAGTGTAGCTGATTATAGTGTACTATCTCACTGGAATACTTTGATTCTTATACCCCCCTCCTCCCTTTTTGTCATGCGACATCAAGTGACCCATCTGGTACAGGTGATGGATAATCACCCAGCCTTCCCGCTTATTCCTCTAACAGGCAGCCCTGCAGCCTTGTATATCGCATCAATGCTTTCCATCTGCGCAATACTATCCTCGCTGCTCACCCAACATGGCGGCTCTTTACCCCTAACCCTATCCATAAAGGCCTCTAGCTGCCAGCGATACGTACTCCAATACGGTTTCCCTCCTTTTCCACCGGTGGTCCACCTATCACCCCACACGGGCCCGCCAGACTGCTGCGTCAGATATTCCGTCTTTCCCGTACGCTTATCGGTGACGGAGATGTAGTGGTAGAGATGGGGCATGATGGCGTTGTAGAAGAAGATCGTTGCGGTGTCGGTTTCTACCTCGATGGAGGGCAGTTCCCAGATGCGCGGCAGCAGGCCGAAGAAGGCGCGACTGCGAGATTGGTCGGTGTAGATGCGGCTGTAGGTGGTGTGGTTCGGGGTCGTGGGGGAGGTGAAGAGGAGGTGCGCGTGCATGGCGGCGTCGATGCGCGGGTCGCGGGTGGAGGGGCGGCAGACGGCGGAGAGAATGGTTTGTGGGGGGGAGGTGGTGTGGATGGCGTAGCGGGTGAAGGAGAGAGCGTAGGTTTGGTCCATGAGGGAGCCGCCTGGGATATAGGGGGTTAGTTGGAGGAGATTTAAGAGTCAGGGGAAAGGGGATGATGGTGGTGGTGGTAGTAGTACCTGAAAGGTCGAATTTCCAACGGATATCACCCTCGGGGATGCCGGGGCTGACGGTCATCCAAGCATCTGTACTGATGATTTTACCGTATTTCCCAGATTCGAGGATGGAGCGGAAAAGGTGTGCTGCTGGGTGAAATTGCCAATGGAACTTTTTATTTTGGATGGGAAACGATCAACATGGTTCTGATAGTCATGGGAATTTTGGCTGCAAGCGTACCGCTTCCTCCAGTACCAGCTTCTTCTCCTTCGCCAACTTTACCAGCTGCTTGGCCTCCTTTGCATTTGAGGTAAACGGCTTCTCGCAAAGGACGTGCTTCCCAGCCAGCAGGGCTTTCTTGGCCCATTCAAAATGCAAGCTATTGGGCAGCGAGATATATACCATGTTGACGTCCGGATCGTCAAGTAAGGCCTGGTATGAACCGTAAGATTTCTTGAAGCCATACTTCTTCGCATAGGCTTCAGCCTTCGACGCATCGCGTGAAGCAATGCCGTAGAGGTTTACATCAGGATGGGTCTCGGAGGGATGAATGACTGGGAGAGAAGCAGGGTGTTAGTTTTACGTAGTTCTTCTGGCGTTTAAGGTTAATGGGAAAACAATAGTGGGACGCTTACTTCCCGCAGCGTTAATCGAAGCGGTGGATAGGACGCCGAGGTTCAGAGCCCTAGAGGACGATTTTGTCTTTCCGTGCATCCATGATGCGGCGTACTGCTGGAGGAATGTGAGGCCTTGGAGAGCAAGAGCCATGATGTGAGGAATAGACAAACAGACGGTTATGTTCAATCCAAACGAGACATAATTGGACTTGATGGCAAAGGCAAAATAGCCGCCTCCCGTATTGAATTTCTCATAATCCCCATCACTGCTATATATAAGGAGCTGCTCTATTTGAGTTTCGCGCCCGGCGCTGGTCCAGCCGTCTGATGTCATCCCAGACGTCATAATCTTATTTTAGACGCATGCTCTGAGAGGTGAGACGGGGCTTAGGGAAAAAGGTTGAAGTGGACCTTTTTCCATGTTTTTGGTTGAAAAAATCGAGGATAGATATCAAGCTGGAGCTTGATAATTGCTTCGTGTATGTATACATTGGACAATGCACGTATGAACGCAGTCCCATGTATAAATAAGGGATTCCGACTTGGGAAGCTATATATGACCCTGCCAGCCCACATGCTTTCAGGTTGAGAAATAAAAGAAAAGATAAGAATCCGTTTCACATACCCACAACTCAACTCGAAATCACGAAACATGAGTGACCAGGTCAAAGACAAGACCGGCGAACCCATCCACGAAGGTGACGATGTCGAGACCAGGATCCGTGGAGGTACTCGCAAGGGAACAGTACGTTATCTTTTCCTTGATGGAATTTCATCTTGGCCCTGGTGAGCTGAATCCCGTTCGGCGAGCAGGTTGAGAATATTGTGACAAGTCAGGAAGAAGCGCGGGAAGAGAACGTTAAGAATCCGCCAAAGGTAAGTGAATTCGTCACGGTTCAAGAGATTTTGAGACATCAGGGTGGGTTGAATTGACGTCCTCTAGGTTGTTTACTACGACCAACATGGCCATCGAGTCGCGCATAACCCGCAGACGTTGCGAAAGGGGGGAGAAGACTGAAGCTCCAAGCCGCAATGGACCGATGTCCCCTCACTGTACGGAGTAGGATTGTGATAACATATAAATAAGAACCCTTATCTTTGCCTTTCTTTTTTCAATGGTCACAACTTCTTGTCCGGCCCCCGAATCTCACCGAAAGATATTGAGATCAGCAGGACTCTTCCATTTTCCATCCAAACTTCTTCAGTTGCCTACTTGCAAACACACCACCAGTTTCAGCGAGAATGGCTTGTTCTCCAAGCCTCTCGAACATTACGACGGCATCGAGCTAGAAACAACCAGAGTCCATCGTACCCTTTTACGAATAAACCCAGGCAATCCCGCAGTATCGGGGAGACGGACGATCTGCCGATGGTACATTATATGTAACAACCTCCATTAAAAAGAAGTATTCTAAAATAATCCCCAAGTTAAAGAAATAACTAAATAAAACTATGGGGCGGGGCTAAATGAAACGATAAAGTCCACCGAATCTCCGAAAGACTGATGACAATGCCACCACCTAGATGACATACTGCACACAGGGAATTTATTAGCAATCACACAGTCCAGATCTCCACTGCTTGTCAAAGACATTGGGCGAACTCACTGGGATGAAGAGATAAGGCACCTCCTTCTCATACTGCGTCCAGGCTTCCCCATACTTGGCTCTGCATCGCTGGATATCTCTCATGGCACGATGCGCGATCATGGCCGCGAAGAAAACAGGGTAAAACCAAGGGAACGGGCTTTCAAATCCGGTGACGAGACCCCACATGAGTGCAAAATAGAGGTCGCAGGTGTAGTGGATTTTTCGTGCGTAGCCGTCTAGATATGATCAGCACTGCCAGCGAGACCGACTCGGACTATGAATTGGGTATACTTACACCAACCGTCAACAAGAATAGTGTCACCTTTCTTGCTGGTGATGGTTCGAGGGTTCTCGACCGTCTGCCATGGGAGTTGTGGGAATGTTTTCCTCAGGACCATATCGCCGCGTTGCTGTTGGCGGAAGCGGTTCTTCTGACTGTTCGTCGTGTCCCAGATCCAGTACACGAACAGATAGCTGACGTACATAGCGGCCAGGGCATATTTGTTCCAGCGGTAGGTTTCTGGAGCATGGCTGGCAAGGTAGACGGTGCAATGACAGTAGCTGAGAGGGACGCCAGCAAGGTTCCAGAAGATAAGCATAAAACCCCATTTCTCATAATAGATGTCCCTACAGAGCATAATTGTCAGAAAACGAAGCCTCCTTGGTATGTTTCCCCTTGGCAGGTACTCACCATGTTGCAATAATGCACTCTTCACCTTTGGAGCAAGCATTGGCATATAAAAAGTGAGCCATAAGCAAGAATCCAACCTCTCCACTCACGTATCCATAGTTCTCATATTGTCTCGCGGCAGCACCCATGGTGACCAGGAGCAAGATGTACCAGGGCAGCCGAACCTCGAAAAACATCTTGAAATCCAAGATTCCGAACATTCTCGGGTTCAATTCCGCACCCATGAAGAAATCATAGATCGGGTATCCGGTGATGCGGTGTTGGGCGCCACGAGCCATAGCGGAGAAATAGGCGATGAACGAGATGATGAAGCCGGTGAGAATGGCAACGCTCATCAACGGACCGAATTCATCGATGATCGTGTAAAGCTTGAAGAGGCCAGAGACGTGAAGGCCGACAGCGAGGATGATGGTCGTGTAAAAGGAAGAAACGGCAGAGCAACGGTAGAGGAGCTGCTTTCCACCTAAGTGGTCCAGCGGTCTGCCCTTGACGACAATGCCAGGGAGGAACATATAGCACAGCGCCTCGAAGATGAAGAAGATCCAGTAGATAGCCCACGCCTTGACGGACGGGAAAGCGCCCTCGTACACTAGATGCGCTAGATGCCGAACAAAGTCGCTGGTGGACTGACCCTCAGCCGGCAGAGGGAGATGCCCGTCGTAATACACGGCACCAATCCACATGTAATACATCAGCAGCGGAAAGCCGATCATCATAGACAGCACACCCCACGAACCACCAAACTCGAAGTGGTCCGTGTGCTCCACCACCTGCTCGGCCTTCGCTTCCGTCGTCGCAGCAGGGCATGCAGCGCCGTTCGATCTGGTCTCCGCCTGGACATCCTCCACCGGCTTCTCAACCTCGCGCCGCTTTCTGGGCTTCCCAGAATCAATCATCTGGCTGGATGACAATTCCGCTTCGTTGTATTCCGGGCTCTTCGACGCGCGACTCCTGGTGATGCGTCTGCTCGGGGTCTCGACGAAGCCATCAGGTTGGACCTTCCTGATAACATAAATCAGCGATCGAAATTGCTAGCGGAGAGGAATTGAGGAAACAGCCGCGAAGCTCTCGCGCGAGCACCGGGAATTCATATCCAATTCCGGCGCAAATTGGTCTAATTCAAAACACAAGGTATCACCACAGCGAAGTCATGCCTCCAGGGCTTTTCTAGTAGTGTGCTCAAAACAGACAAAAGCAGACAAGAGACGAAAAAGGGAACTTACTTTGGCGTCTTGCCGGTCTGTGAGCGGGTGAGCGTCATCCTGGGAGAGGAGCAGATATAAAGGAGCAGCGACTGGCCATCCACGGAGCGACAACAAAGAAAAGGGCGCAAAAAAAAGAAAAAGAAAAAAGAGGAAAAAAACCAAAAAAAAAAAAAAAAAAAAAAAAAGGAATGAAAATCGGTCTCCGCTGTTGGTCTCTGTCTCTCATACACTTTCAGATTGGCCTCTTCAAGCTGCGATCTCCCTAAATCACTGTTGTGCCACACCTCCCAGCCAATCACGCCGCTCCGTGGCGGCTCGGGCGGTTGTGGCGTCCGTCCGTTACGACTGTTACGGGGTGGTACAGGACGCGGAGGGGAGCTTGGCGTGTAATTAAAGTATAAACGCTCTCCTATTGGCCCGGCTACCGGCTGTCTGGCATCCTGAGTGTATTACATACATTATAATACAGTACGTGACTGACGGACAGGGATGGGACGAAAAACCCGCTCGTCACGACGTTACGGGGGGAATCCTCGCCAGCACCATACGCTGGGACGGGATGCAGAGATGAGATGATTCAACGGGGACAGATGGGTCAATGCTGTTTCAACCCTGGTGTCATCGAGACACCTGCCGTAGAGATTGTCCCAGGAGATCGTCTCCACACCTGAACAGAAGCCAGACACTTGTCTTGTTCTCAGGTCGTGTGTAGCACCAATCTATTTACTATCTGCACCCAGGGTACTCCGTAGCTACAGAAGCAAAAATACATATATTTTGCACGCCTCACAGCAAAGATACACATCGAGCAAACGACAATTACATCGCTCAAGCTGCTCGCCTGGCGTTGGTGGACATCAGCGTGATTTTCTTGTTTTTCTTTCTTTTGCCGTTTCCTGCGGCGGGAGCTGCGTTCTCTCGCACCGCAAGAACCTCTTCCTGCTCTGCCAGCAGTAGCTCCCTCTCCCAACCCTGGAGCCATCCGTCGTCGACCTCGTTTTGGCTCCGGTATGGCAATGGCTCCGAGCTGGACTCCACAGCTGCCGTGCCCCAGACCGTCCGGCGTGTCGGTGGACTGCTGGACGGTGAAGCGAGCGCAGCGAACGACGAATGGCTCTGCTCTCGAGATGGTCCGGGTGAAGGCGGGCCCTGTGGGAAGGTCGCCTCAGGAACGGGGGGGCCCTCTGCGCTAGACGGACCCGCAAGAGGTTGGAAATCAGTTTCCGAAAACGGCTGGTTGGAGGGAGCTCCTATACTCGGCCTCTTCCTCCTGACCGCGGCCCACCTCTTGTCCTCTTCCTCTTTCTCCGCGCGGATACGTTCCTTTTCTTCTGTAGCCGCCTTCTCCTTATTTCGCTTCCGACGGCGGCTGATTTCAGGAGCAAACTTCTCGAGGATTGCGGGGCTAACAAGATCGGTCCAATCGCACTCCAAAAAACTTACCTCACACCCATACGGTAAGTGGCCTAGATACTTTGCACGCTTGCGTAAATCGTCATCCACCACGTAGCCTGTTGATATGTGCTCCACTCGAGGTAGGATCGCAGACGGAAACTGTGAAAAATCGCCAAATTCTGCCTTCAAGATGCGTATGTCCAAAGGTGAAAGATAAAAGTGAGGGAGAGCTTGGTAAAAATAGTACGGTTGATCGCTGGAGTGAGGCATATGACCAGATCTTGATTTATCCGCGGTGACCGAGCGGCCATGTTTAGCGACAGTGTCTGTTTTAACTGAAGGGTTGGCTTCGTTCGAGTCGATGGTCAGTTTTGAAACACCTGCAGAAAGGTACTCCTCGGCCGTTGTCGCATCGTTGATCTTCGAACTACTCGAGCCTAGACTTGGACCGGTAATAGATGCACTCGAAGAACTATTGCCGGACTTTAACGCTCGTTGGAAATGATACATATCAGGAGCACCATCCAAGGATTCAGACGGAAGTGTTTTAGGCGGTCGTCGCTCGACTGATTCTCTCGATAGTTCCGGGGGATTGCCGATTCCTTTTACCTTCTCCTTTGCATCTTTGACGGCCGCGATCGCTTTGCCTGTCCATGTTGAATCCTCTCCAAAGAGTAGATTATCTTCATGCTCCAGCTTTCTGAGCTCCTCAATCTCAGTATCATAATGAGAGAGCATGTAGTCCTCGCCACCTTTCATGATCCGAGCGTAATCGGGCACATCTGCGATATGGTACCATGGAATGTCTTCTTCGGGCCCAATAATTGCGCCGTCGCGGGGAAGGGCCAGTGTGCTTCCCGGCATCCGCCAGACCAACCGAAGCAGAACATCGCCGCCCTCCATAAGCATGTCGGCTTGCTGTCCTGTATGCCATGCAACGCAACGAGTATCTGATATGTAGATGGCATCCCAGCAAATCGGACATTTTTTCCATCTGGGCCTCTTTTCGGGAACTGGATTGGAGTCATCACTCGAGTGCATATACCGAATGAGGCAAGGAAGGCAGAATATATGGCCACATTTGGCCATCCGCGGTGCAGCGGGGGTGGAGAGGCAGATCGGACAACTAGTCTTCTGGGTTTCGGAGGAAACCAAAACCTGCAAAACCGTGTCCCAGTCAAGGTGGACATCTGCATTTGTGGCCTGGGAGTGGTAGTTCTTCGTTGGATTTACAATGAACCGATAGTTGGCATGGACGTATCTGGGTAGTAGTTAGTACAATGGGGCTGGTCCCTTGTCAATTACGATATCGATCGAACCTGGCTTTATCTACCGCACCCGAACGGATTCCCCATCCATGAGTACGGCGAGGCGGTCTATACGGCGTGTGATGATGGTGGTGGTGGTGACGATGGTGTGGGCGGGGTGGAAGGGAGAAGTTCATCAGATGGGTGATCGAGGTCTGTCCTTTTCGACTCATCGTGCTATTCACTGCAATCTGGTCCGTATTGAAGTCAGCATGAAGACGCCTTGAGACCGAAACCGGAGCAGAAGCACATACAGACTCTGCAAGCGCATCCTCGTCTACCAAGCGGGGCCGACGATGACGTTTGTGCTGCTGCTTTCGGCCCTGGTTGTTTCTCGGTGCAGACGAATTTCTCACTGAGGCAGGATTCGCAAAGCCTCGGCGGTGAGAGCCTGTTTCGACGGTTCCGGTGTAGGTCGGGGCTGCGGGAGGAGGTCCAAGTTGGACTTGTGTATTTGCCGGTTTTGACGGGTTAGAGGATGGCCCCGAAGCGGACGACATTGCTTGACGGAATCCAATGTGCAGAAAAGGAAGCTCTGTCGCAGGGGGGTAGGGGCCCACAGGCGCCAGGAGATCGGGCTCGCCTTCAGGAACACATCGCAAGGCGAGCTCGATGTAAGCGGGACGAAGATTGGGAGTGGGTAGGAAGCGATCAAGGCTCGTGGTCCCTTGGATTACCCCGAGGGGGCCGTCGGATTGCAGGGCGTTGCTTGAGACGCAGCTTTTGAGATGACGATGAGGGGCGGCGACGAAGGTGAGCTTGCCTGCGCCGGCGAATACCGTTCTGTACGGCGTACCGTACGTATGGGCACCTGTTTCACTCTGCGATAAGAGGGAGAATCGTCGGGTAACTTGCGGTCACGGTCTGTACGGTACATGGCGCCACACGCCCGTTTTTTGCGGACCCGTGACCGGGGTTAGTCAGCCGCGCTGGTTTCACGACAAACATCGTCAACACAAAAATTAATCGCAGCAGGAAAAGAGAAGCACGTCTGTCGCCGCCCGCTGCCCGCCTCTCCGCCACCTGGACTCCCGCCTGTCTTGTTTGCCTCGCCTTCTTTTACTTGCTTTTGCTATAATAATCGGTAATTCCGCTCCTCCAGGCGAACTCCCCGTCTGTCGACTGTGGTGGAAGACCTGGTCGCAAAAAGGACCTACCCCAGGGCTTGCTATCCGGCCCAGCGGCACCCAACCCTCTGTTAGGCACCCAATTTTTTCTCCGCAATGGGATGCTAAGTCTGCGGAACGCCCGCGGCTGTTTCTGTGCTCTCACTGCTCTTCCTTTCGCATTGATGGCTCGCCGCTAGGCCATCTCCCACCCAGCAGTCAAAAAAGGCTACGCCGTCCGAAAGTCGGGGCATGATGAACCATCATCTGCCCCCGCTGCCTCACGGGCAGCCGCCCCTACCTCCTCCTCGCCGACAGCACGATATTCCCTATGCGTCGGCGCCGCCTAATGTGCGCTCGTCCCAAGCATACATGGGCTATCACCACCCCCATCCTCACGCGACCGGTCCTCTACCCCCATACGCACCCCATCAATACCAGCAGCACTGGTATCCATATCAACAGATGCCACACCCTCCACCACCGCAACCGTACCAGTCGTACAGTCCTTTGATCGTCTCCTCGTACCCTCGTTCCCAGCATATCGCCGCAACCGGCCCACCACCTTCATTCCCCTTGCAGACCCCTACTACCGCCTCAACGCCGCAGCTTTCGTCCTTCTCCTCGACGCCTCCCCCAATCGTTGCCCCGTCATCTGCCACTTCGGATTTACAGGAAGATGTATCCACAAACCGCCCGGCGGAGGCCCAATCCAAAGCAATTGATGGAGGTTCGACAAGCTCGGGCACTGCGTTGGTTCCTAGTGCAGTTGTTCCGGAAGCCTCGGTCAATGAGCGCACAAGCATAGAACCCACCGCCAGAGAACCGTTTCAGCCACCGGTTAGTTGTAATCTTCCTTGTCAATGTTTGCGTTTTGGAGAAAAGAAATTCACTCACCTCACATCAATCTAGCTGCCCTGGTTGTCGGTTCCTGAGGCCCCATTCCCTGAGAAGCTACCTCGGAGACGGCGAAAGCCCAGGATCGCTGAAGTTACCAAGCAATCTGTGTCTCTCTCCTTCAAGGCCGACAGCGAGGGAAATGAACCCCAGAAACCCGGTCTTGAAGCAGAACCCCCATTGCCCGAGCGTACTGCCACTCCCACTCCAACAGCCTCCCACGCCCCATCTGAACCCACCTCGACACAGCCAACCACTCCTTCGTCTTCCAGCAACTCACAATCTCCGTCCCATGTTCGCCAAGTGTCTCAGGCAACCACGCCACGAATGGCAGCCCCAATCGTTCCGATCGTTCCTGTTGTTCCCATCATGCCAGCTACACCCCACCTTTCGAAGCAAGGACAGCAGACCACCGGAAGTGCCACAGACAACACTAAACCCATTGAGTCAGTGCAGCCCAGCCAAAGTACTGCTGACCAGCAGGACTTGAAAGCAACGCCTCCACCTCGTTCGCAGCCAAAATCATGGGCCGACCTTGTTCGGACGAAAAAGCCAACCTCGGGAAGTGATGACGCCGTGTCAACATCGGGTGTTGGCGGTTTGGCTCCGTCCAAGTCTGAATCTCTCGTCGACGTTATTAATAGCTTGGCTTCAGAAGCGGATCTTTATAGCAATAAGATTGCCTTTGTTGAGCCTCGAGGTCTTGTAAATACGGGTAATATGTGTTATATGAACTCGGTAAGTTGTATAATATCTCTAAAGCCTTCTGCACTTCGACTCCGAATTGGAGCTTACTTCTAGCAGGTCCTCCAAGTTCTCGTCTTTTGTGTTCCATTTTATGATTTCCTTGATCGGGTTAGTCGTCGTGCTGCACACAGCTTCAAGAGCGAGCTCCCGCTTCTCGACGCAATGTGAGTTTATATTTCCCTGGATTGCAAGTGGCTTGTTGGTGGCTGACGTATTGCCTTCGCAGGATTATGTTTATGAGAGAATTTCGAGTAATTGGCTCGGCAAGTTCTGTCGAGCAGTTGCGGCAACGTTTGAAGCAGACTGAACTAGAGCAATATGGGTCATCATTCATTCCAGAATACGTTTACCAGGTCATCAGACATCTCCCTCGCTTTAGAGATATGCGCGTGAGTATATATCCACCCCTTACCATGTTATGACTCAGATTCAGTTCTAACAGATTACAGCGAGGCCATCAACAAGATGCCCAAGAATTCCTCGGTTTCTTGTTTGAAGAGCTTCACGAAGAGTGCTTACATGCAATAAAGAGCTCTTCCGCTTTGCCTGAAGCTGCAAGTGCTTCAGATGTCGATGCTGTCTCCATGACAGATGATTCCGCTGGTGAAGGTTGGTTAGAAGTTGGCCATAAGCAGAAAGCCGCCGTCACCCGATCATCGGGACACATTGCTTCAGAATCCCCAATCACGAGAATCTTCGGTGGCAACCTTCGCTCTGAATTCAGAGTCCCCGGAAATAAAAACTCCGTTACCTTGGAGCCTTACCAGTCGCTTCAACTTGATATTGGCTCTCCTCAAGTTAATAATATCATCGATGCACTAAAGGGCCTTACCAGACCGGAAACTATGCACGGGGATTTTAGCTCCTCGCGTGGTACCAAAGTGAATGCCACCAAGCAGGTGTTCATTGAAAGCCTACCACCGGTCCTGATTCTCCATCTGAAGCGCTTCCACTATGATAGTGTAACAAAGGGCACTCAGAAAATTTGGAAGAAGATTGGATATCCTTTGGAACTCGAAATCCCCAAGGAGGTGTTCGCTCCACACCGTCGAAATATGTTAGCTGCCCAGGGTGGTGGCCTTCCCAAGTATAGGCTTACCGGTGTTATTTATCACCATGGCAAAAATGCAAGCGGCGGCCACTATACGGTGGAAATCCGCCGTCAAGATGGCCGCGAATGGATCCGTATCGATGATACCGTGATTCGCCGCGTTCGAAGCGAGGATGTTGCATTTGCAGGAAGTGAGGAAGATCCAAAGAGCCAGGCTGCTGCCCTCGAGCAGCATAAATCTCTCGATAGCAGCTCACAGTCGAATATCTTCCGCCATTTCGACCAGGACGACGAGCAAGACAGCGAGCGTGGATGGAACCAGGTCAACGGCTCGGGGTCGAGCCACGCAAGCAAAAAATCAGTCAGCGCGCTGGCCAACGGAACCAGCCCACCCAACACCGCGTCAGGAGACTCCTCGGGCAAGAGGACTTCCAGCAGCCGATTGGCAGCTCGGGAGAACAAGGTCGCCTATCTGCTTTTCTATCAGCGGATCTAAGTACCCGTTTATAGCGAGATGCCCTAGGCTCTCTTAACTCAACGTATTTTCCCTCGATTTTGATACCATCTTAACCTACCCTCTACACACATACATACATACATACCTGTTCTCACATTATGTTCTTCCCCTCCGCGGCTTTTAAGCTCTACTCTCCGGGTATCTTGCTCCATTTTTAACCCCCTGGGCTTACCCTGGGTTTCTGATGTTTATGTGTATGACGGCGGTGATGGTGATAGTAGTAGCGGTGCTCAGGCAGTCCATTGTTTCTTTTTGTTTGTTACCAGGATGAATGGGAAAGCTGGAGACCGGGTTTGTTTCCTGCATGGTCGGTTTCTTCTTTTGGGGGGGGAGGGACGCAAAACTCACACACGCCCTCACCTTTTTCTCTCTTTCTTTTCTTTTTAAAAAACCAACAACAATTAAAGAAGGAAAAAGATATGAAAAGGGGCCTCTCCCTTATTTTAATATTTATTTCGAATCCTGGGGGAAGAAGAAGAAAGCTCGGGATAAAGAAAAGCACGGGTGGTGGCATATGTTTTTGGTTCCTGGAAGGCGAGGGAGGTGTGCAGTAGTTAGTTATAGTTTAGGGGTTTGGGGGAGAGAGGCTAAATGCCCTTGGAACGTCTGGAGGAAAGCTGTCCCCGGGGTGTTCTCGTCTCCGAGTCGAAATTAGATGGTGTTATATATCTTTATATCTCAAGGTCCCCATCGGCCAAGCGATAAATAGGTTTCTATTCAGAGATTCGCAGGGTTCTCCAAGCATGTAAGGATGGTTACCACGGAGGGCAGGTTTACGGAGGCCCATGTCGTCGCACGAATAAAGAACGGGGCATGGAAGCCTCTTGGAATGGAGCGAACAAGGTTCCCGAATCTGATATGTACACCTCTGCTCAAAAGGCCAAAGCCGCCGAAGTTCCCCTAAGAACTGGACGGGTGAAATTTGGTTGGATCACATGATAACTAGCTATTTTGCGCGGGTTTCGAGGATTGGAAGTGAACCTTGACATCCCTGTTAAATATCCTGTCAGGCCTGCGCAATTGTTGCTTGTTTTGCTCTTTGAATCTTTATTAATATTGACAGTCTTTTCAGGTGTCAAGGCCACAACAACATTAGTTAACTGCATTTGTGCAAAAGCGCTCCAGGGAAACAAAAATGCTGATCCAAGAGTCACACTATGATGTCAAAACTTCCGCTGCGGGGGAGGGGAGCATGAGTGAGTCTCCTGAGATTTCCACACCCACAACACTTTATAAATTGAGTGATGGCAGTCATAATTGAATTGAGAAGCTGCTGGTGCTACTGTCTCGAAACTTCTTGACTGTATTTCAATTAAAGAACAGAAGGAGTGCTGAAAGAGCCATTGTTTGAGAATCGGAACTCGCAGAAAGAAATTGAAATACCACTACGGAGTACGAAGGGGAGCTTTTAAACGTTCAATTTAGGACACGGGCTAATAAATTTGACTGCGCTGACTGGCCCATTGAACAGGAATATATGTGTTTCATCCCACGATTCCCGGATACCCAAAGGCAAAATTTCCTGGCGTGGTTGTGTTCAGCGAAATTTACCAAGGTGCGCGTCATAACCCGTGTATTGCTTAATTATATAGTTAGCTACGCGTCTGGGCTTCCCAAGAGCACCTGCGGAAGAAACCGCGACAACTCTTGGATAATTAGCTCAAGAGCGTGCTGAAAAATCCGATGCAGTGACCGGACCTGTCACCCGCTTCGCACGCATGATAGCTGGCCACGGGTATATCTGCGCAGCGCCATCGAGCTACCATGAATTTACCGGTCCAGAGCCACTAAAATACGATGCGACGGATACCGATAAGGGCAATGCATGGAAGATCACCAAAGTGTGCTCCCCCATGGGCCCTGAAACCCGTACCTGCTAACGAGTATTCGGCCGTGACGCCTGAACCTGATGTTGTTCTAGAAACTTACAGCTTATGATGAAGACGCAAAGCTCAGTGTCGACTATCTGCTGTCACTCCCCACGTGCAATGGCCGCGTTGGGGCGACTGGAATGTGCCTCGGCGGGCATCTGGCGTACCGCTGCGCGCTGGACGAACGGGTTAAAGCTGCGGTGTGCTTCTTTGCGACTGACATACACAGCAAAACCCTCGGCAAGGGAAAGAATGACGATAGCCTGCAGAGAGCGGGCGATATCAAAGGCGAATTGGTCATGGTAAGCTCATAGACTTGAGTAGGGATTTATCAAGTTGCCTCAGTAAACCAGATAGGGCCCGAAAAAAATAGGTACGCACATGCTAATACCGCTACTTTTTTTTTAGATCTTTGGTAAAAATGACACACACGTCCCGCCAGCCGGTAGGGACTTGATTCGGCAGACGCTTCATGAGAAAGGAGTTTGCTTCAGCTTTTACGAAGCTGCATGGGCTCAGCGTAAGTAATTCTTTCTCAATGTTCCCGGCGAACAAGTGCTGCGACAGGCAAAATCTATTCTCCGCTCACCACTCTGCAATAGACGCGTTCATCAGAGACGAGCTAAGCAAGGGCCGGTACGACCCTGCGTTAACAAAAGTTTGCGTCGAGATGATGTTTGAAGTGTTTGGGCGTACTCTCATGGTTGAGCTTGGAGACACTGACGGGAAAAGCCTCCAGGTGGAGGATGTCTGCTAGAGAGAGGAGCATGGACCTCTTTCTGGGAGCTATATAAATTCTCCTTCCCGCCGGAGTAAGGTTTTGTTGGTTAACCCCGGGTCTTATAATACGTATGCGAAGCCAAACCATAGACGAAGGCGAAAGTTTCCATTTAGCACATTGAATTTTACCAAGCAACGTGGGAAGCCGTGTGTACCTGGCGGCCCAAAAGACAACGGAGAGAGCTTTTTCAGTGGGAATTTCCAAATTTAGTTCAGTTGCCTCTGACTATCGAGTTCTTGTACGGACTAAAAAGTCCATACCCACAGCGACACACCGCAGCAGAATTTTTGCTTTTTTGAAGCCTCGAAATTTTGCATCAATGATTCTGCAATTTCATTGTTTCCCTGCTGAGAAACTTCAAGATGTAAGCATTCTCCATAGAATGCCATTCACCAGAAGGAGCACAAAGAACGGGGCAAAAGAACAGCCCGTCTCATGTGTGCATGCCGAAACTCGCCGCCATTGTCAACCGGCATTGGCAATGACAATATAGAGTACAGAGTACATATGTAATTACTCCGTACGTAGAATCCAAATCGTTGGCTGAGGGTGGCAAGAATTGTGTCCATTTTTGTAACTCTGGAGCCTCGACACCGCTGATGCGCTGTTGATTCCAAAGCCGCCATCCCCAGCGACGGCGGATGTTTTGAGTTTCAGGACTGGAAACAAAAGGCCAACGTTGGCCAGCCATTGGAGGGTACTTCGTAGTGCACATAAATTGTTTCGTCGATCGACAAATCGGCACATTGGGCGTAACCCCATCTGGTCTCAAGCGGGTGCGTCTTGCAAAAAGCTCCGACAGACGGATCGCGATCCCATGGCAGGGCGGGCTGGGAGCTGTGCGCATCTCAATTCTCCTGTGAGGAGCTGCCAAAGCGGCTAGCCAGCCTGCGCCCAGACGGAACGTGTACGGAGTACGGAGTACAATGTGTATAACTATACAGACAGGTATGGAGAGTGTATAGTTGTGTCTTGCGTGTATATCCTTACGACCAGTGGTGCCAAGACAGTCTCTGGAAAGAAGCTCTGATTCGTCAATTGGCCGACTAGACCCTGAGCCCCAGACAAGTCCGTAACTTTAATACAGCAGATTACGACAATGCTCACCTGGCTGCGCTAGTCAGTTACACCGTTACGAGCCTAACCTGACCTGACCTGACCTGACAAGCCTGCGTTGAGCCTCTCTTTCACTCTGACCGACCTGCCAGCCCGTCGACCGGTCGCTTTTTCGCCCATCCATCCCCCGACAATTCATCTCCCGGCAGGTCCCTGGCGTCGCTATTCTGGCCGTTGCGGTTATCGGGCAGCCCCGGCTGTTGTCTTCTGACACACACACACGCACACGCTCGCTCTCCCTCTCTCGACATCGCTAGCCCGAGTCCATTCGCTGGTCGTTTGCTTTTCCTGTGTCGCTCCATCCAGCCCCCTCGTCGTCTTCCCCCGGTTTGTTGACCCTGAACGCCGAGGCCGGTCCATCTCAATCAAAGACTTGCATTGCAGATTCTCGCCTGGGGACGGGGAAGGGCTAGAAGCTCGCTGGTACGGGTCATACAAGTGGTAGTCCAATTCGCAACCTGCAAACCGAGTGGTGTGGGCTGCGGTCGGCTCTCTTTTTTGTGGTTCCCGCTCGTCGCCATGGGATCGACTCAGTTTGGCAACTTTCATGTAAAGTCTCTTTCCTGGGAACTGATCAAGGGGTCTTCTGTCTCTTCTATGATATATATAGAGCTGACGCCTTTGCGCTACCTATAGGACTTTTGTCGGGACACGACACTGCCAATATGCAACGTACGTCGCTGCCAGATACGGCCCTTGTGTTGCTCGACCGCTTCTGGTTGTTGTTCGGGCTAGAGGCCAACTGACCTCGATAGATACTCGTCAATAATAATCAACCTCCTAATGCGAAGTTTGGTGGATGTCCTCTGACAGGAATTGGCTTAAGCGATGGCAGACATCTTTCCAATCTCGGTACGCCGATGTGCTTGGATGCGTTATTGAGAAATTGTTATTAGTCCTGACAAGACGCAGGTTCGATCTTATTATGCTTCATTGCGATCCTGATGACCGTGTTTTTGATATGGAAGTCTGAGAAGAAAAAGGCCGCTGTGGGAAGAAGGTGGGGCCACTTGTTGCGGAGGTATATTACCGGATATTTGAAACCTGGTACTGATAGACTCATGCAGGGAAATCCAAATATTTCTCGTCGGGTTTGTCATCATTCAAATATGCGAAATATTCACTGTCGGAGGGTTTCCCCTTGACGATAACGTTCGGAAAGTACGTGCGCCTTTTGCGGATCACCGTGTTGCTTGCAAAGTACTGTGACCCTGTCCCGCACTTACGGCTAACCGCCTTTAGGGATTTACGGCTGTTCACTTGGCTGCCATCTCCGCTACAACATGGATGCTCTTCGTAAATGCGCTGGTCGGGTATCAATTCCTCGACGATGGTACACCGATTTCAATTGGGTTGCTGTTGACCTCTGCCGCCGTTCTTTTCATTGGGACTGGTTACATCGCTCTGGACACCGCCTTCAGTTGGACTGGGTATTTTGACCCAAGCCTGTCCGGAGAAAACAGGAACATTGGACTCTATGTCCTTTATCTGCTCTTTCCGCTGATTTGCCTGGTTGGTTTCTTCGTGCTCGAGTCTATCCTTGTACTGAGGATTCTCGGCGAGATGCGACCAATGCGTACGTATTGAGATGCCCCATATTCTCTATTCATTGGTGCTGGCGTATCGCTAACATGGACGTGATAAAAAAATCCTTTAGTGTACCTTTCGGGCGCCGCTTTGCTCTTTGCATTTGGCCAGATATTTGACTTCGCTATTAGCACCCACCTCTGCCATGCATCGGATGGCAAGATCAACGGTGCTTTATTCGAGACGCTCTTCACTCTTCTCTCCGTCGGTATGGTTTGGATCTTCTGGAGTAGTATAACAGAAGATGACTGGCCCATGCCTGTATCCACCGGAGGATACAATTAAGCAATATAAAGCAAAAAAAAAGGTAAGGGAAAAAGGAAACATTCGAAAAATGTATCAAAGCTTATTTTATTATATTTTGTTCATCACGCAAATATACCAGAAATCTGGCGGAAATACCCCCTTTGCTCACTCGATAAGATATGTCTTTTTTTGTTTTTTTTTATATCTCATTTGGGCTGTTATGATTATTCTTTTTACTTTTCCAACACCCACCCAACCAACCACCACCCTTGGGCTTTCTTTTATAATGTGAATTAGCTGGTTTACGCGATGCATGTCTTTGATGTCATGGGAGCGTGTTAGGAGCCCCCTTTGCTGGGAGGAATTTAATGATGTAATACCTGAAGCTTGTTCCTGTTCCTGTTGCTTGAGTTTTATGTTTTGAGAAACTTGGGAAGGTTCGTTCCTCTGCCTTTGGGTTCTACCTCAAAAAGCCTCCCAAAGGTGTTCTGCTGAAGCCTTCTGCTGTTCTTAGTGGCTGACATAGGTTCCTATATCTTTGGAGCGTATTGTGATATATAAGGGAGTAAATCGGAATGATGAAAGGTTCACAAAAAGATAGTATGTATACATGTCCTGAACAGGAAATATTTGGTGCATGTTTTCCATCAAACGGCAAGTTTTCTTTGATGTGAAGGTTGGAGAGCAAACCAACACCCACCCTGTTTGGGTAGAAGGTGGAAAGAAAAAGAAGTACTACCACACAAAGGCACAGGCCGCTTTGAGCTGCTATACTCCTATGAGGACTCGGGGGGCTGGTCACCGGTAGTACCCTCAACCGTTCTCGTCCCACTCTTCCCAAACACCCCCGTTCCAAACCAATACCGCCAATGCGTCCAAGCCGGCCACATACATACAGCCTCGATATTGTTGCCCACCGGGTCCAGCACAAACGACGCATAGTAAAGCCGTGTATACTGCGGTCTCGGGCCGGGCTTCCCATTACACTTCGCACCGGCTTTCAAAGCCGCATCGTAGAAGGCGTGAACGAGCTCTCGGCCTTTGATGTTTAAAGTACATGTGTCTTTAGTTCAATTCTTTTTTGCGAGGTAGTTCCGTTCGCAGTGGGAAAGGATGGGGATAGAGAGAGAGAGAGAGAGAGAGAGAAAAAGAAAAAAAGAAAAAGAAAAAGGAAAAAGGAAGAAGAAAATGGATTGCTGGGAAGACTCACTGTTCGTGCTGAAGGCGACATGTAGGGGTTTCTGCTGCTTCGAATCTTCATCTGCATCTTGATTGTCGTCGGATTTCACTCCGGTGATCCAGAAATCCGGATAGTATACACCCAGGCCGACCACATTGTCCACGGGCCGCATCATCTCCTTGTACCCGAGTGGCTGGAGAGCTGCGAGGTAAAAGGAGACGGTCTCATCGAACTTGTGTTGTGGAACACAGAAGCCCATGTGAGAGAATCCCATGGCTGGAGGCTCCGAAAACCGTTGGGAAGGTCGCCGTTGTCTAAGGTATGGTTTGCAGGGAGCAATTAAGGGTATTGGAAGAGAAAGTCAAGGCATCTTCATCTCAAGAAAGGCTGGAGAGAAGAGTCCTTCCGTCCCAGTTCTCCTTTTTTGATTTTTTGATTTTTTTTTTTTTTAAAAAAAAAAAAAAAAAAGGTATCTTCTCGCATCCTGATTTCAGGCGGGGTGAAAATACGAAAACCTTCACGCACTTGGAAATAGGCAGCAGCTGCTTGGCCAATAATGGCCTGTTGCCCCTGTGAGCTCGCCCCGGCGATCGCGAAGGTTTCAGGCGTGCATCTTGGCACTAGGGAGCAGGCGGGGCCCCGGAATGCCGCTGATCAGGGCACTGTGTGACCCCCGTTCTCTGGGATGGAGCATCGCGCGGTCCAGGCCGACCGCCTTAACAGTTTGTCTGGGTTAGTAACTGGAATATTTTCCGCCTTACCAAGCAAACAAAATGAGTAACTAAACTCATCTCCAACGCGGGAGTGGCTATTTTGAGATCGTTTGGCTACTGAGAACTGTTTTGAATATTAAGAACAGAAAGGGATCCTTTTTGGGAAGATTGCTTATGGAGCCGTCGTTGGTTTAAACACACTGGTGGGGAGCGGGAACCTTGAGCTGCTGGATCTGTTAGGAATAATTGAACTCACCCCCTTGGTGGTTGGTCCTTTTTTGCCTGGGTGGTTCTGTGACAAGGCTCAGGGCTTCCAACCAACCCATGTTTTCGGAGCTATAATCTTCCGCGGCCTTGAGTTAATAGGTAGATCCATCCATTCATGCTATTACGGCCACGCGAAGGTCTACTTCCGACTCACTTCACCATCATTTCATCACACTTCCATCAGATATTCTTACCTTCTGCTTGGTATTGTCTCTGAGTCTAGCGTAGTCCGCTAGGCGGCTGTGCCATTTGGCTCCCTCGGTCCCCCTATATATAAGGCTGAGAACCAAGCACACAATCAGAACAGTCGGCCAGGTGCTTGGTTACACAGGGAACGCTCCTTTTCTTCACGATGAATCAGACCATCATGAGGCTAGTCAATATCTTCCTTCAGGGGGCTCCTTTTTGTTTGTCCTTGAGCAGAAAGGGACTAGGGCCTTCCACATGGATATATAATGGACAACTCCAGATGATCCATTCGGTGCTCTCGGGCCCTCAAACCGCCCAATATATATATACCTTTTCTAGCCAGAAGATAGGGGCACTTTGGTATCGATTACAAGCCGATGGGAGTAGAACATACGTTCTAATTTCACGGCCTTCGGAAATCAAGCTTACTCAACTCTCCATTGGGAATAACAGCTAGCAAAGATTTTGGGTAAATTCCAAGGTAAGATGTGATATCGGCCTTATAAGCTCGGTGGTTACTGTACGGAGACCAAACAAAAAAGCAGTCTCGCCAAACCAGCAACAAGAGGATAGCTCCATTCTCCATCCCTAGAAAGCGAACGAACTCCCCAAACGTATAGACGTCATGATGAGGTGCTTCAACGGATATCATATCAACATATGTATGTACACAGAAGTGTAAGCAGTGCAAAATACCATGTCAATTTGCAAAATAGACGGCGTGAGACATAAACGTTTTTCACATGCATCATTTTCGTTCTTTATACAGGGAATCGAACGACCGTCTCAGAGCTCGGGTATCGTTTCCCAGCCTTAAAGTAGAAGCCCAAGATCCTGTACAAAATTGCGATCTTGCCCGCTATTTTATGTAGCTTCTAGATCCGGAATAGTCCAAACCGCAAGTCTTCCCAAAACGGGTCAATGGGATTCCTGGAGCTGGACCAGAGACAAGCTCTCTAATCCCAAAATATCTTGCTTTCAAAATGCCCTCCCGCAATAAAAGAAAAGGCTTCATAGTCGCACTTTCACATCCACGCATGGCAGCGTCCACTCTCTCCGGCCCAAAAGACTCCGCAGCCATTCCAAGCCTATTCCCGTCCATTGTGGGATCTGGTCACCTGCCAAGTCTATGCCCGCACTGGGAGCAACTCGTCTCTTTGCTTCTTCAAATGCTGCAGTGGCTAACGCAGTTGCGGTTGAATTCATCGTTTCCAAGACGTACTGCGTCAAACCTGACGCGGGATCCTGAGTGGCATTGCCAACCGCGGCCGACGCTGGTGTAGCGAACCGAGGAGCGAACCAATCGCTTTTAAAGTCGATGAAGCATCTATCCGACCAGTGACAGGACGATATGAAAAGGATCAAGAGGAGAGCAGAGCAGTAGATACACGGCCGGTGGAGGAGATAGGTCAGGGTCACGAAAGATATTATGAAGAGAGGACTGGCGTTTGTGGGGATGAAAAGGAGCGGGAGCCAGCTAAATTTCCAGAGTCAGTAGTTTATTCGGGCTGAAATGGATTTTGACCCGGGGGAGTTTGGTGGTTAGTTGCAAGCTTTGCGAGCGTAATACCTTCTGAGACAGAACATCGTCACATCAAACGATCTTGGTTGGTTTGGGCAGGGGACGGCGAGGAAACGGGGACTCTGAATGAGCTCGACAAACTGTGTCGTGATGCTGAGTACCTGCGCCCGAGAGTGAAACGACAAAGATCCCCTTACGCAGCTGCCGGCACCTTAAGCATCGGAGGAGGGACAAGGTGGCGGAGAGCGGCGTCGTCTTTGCGGGGACTGCGAGGCTTGCAATGGACTGTTGGTCGGAGAGGCAAAAGTTGCGGGCAAACAAAGCAAACACACGCGCTAGTGAGCTGCACAATAACAGCCTCGCTGCTCTTTATCAACAATCCATCCTTCAACCTGCCTTCACTCATCTCTTTCTTCCCTCCCTCCCCAACCTCACATTCCTGCGCTGAAAGTTTCTAATCAGCTACTCCTAATTAGAAGTGAATCTGATTTGTTTGTTCGCTGATATTTGACTGTCGCCTGTTTTCCCCTCCCGAAGTCGCCGATCCGGTGACCAAAGGCACCCATGTCTTTCACACAGTCAGAGCTTCAGGCTCTGTTCGCCAACCTTACAGGGAAGCCACAGGCGGCAGGATTATCGCCTGGTAACAGACAGCAAGAGAACCTCGCACATGGCCCGTCCAACTCTCCCGGGCACTCTCAACGGCTCCCTCAATATGCTCCGCCCTCGGTTTCATCGCCGCTGTTCAGTCCACCGGTGGCTGGGACCCCTCCCCACCATGGATCTGACATAATTAGTCCCAATGTTTCTACTCCACGGAACGAGCCGAGTGTTCAGACTGTTTCGAACTCAAACCGGACCGCCCAATTGCTCAATTTGCTTAAAGTCAGCAACGCTGCGCCCGGCGGCATCGCGCCTAAAACCCAAGATCTGGCAGGAGAGTCTTCAGGTTTTACCAAACAAGGAGCAGCAAGCTCTGAACAGAACCAAAATGGGCATACTCGAGGCATTTCGGCTTCCGACTTGGTTGCTTCCTTCATGGCCAAGCCCACCCCGGAACGCGTAGCTGTCTCGGGTTCACCGTCCATGAGCCAGAATCAACCCGTCGAAGACGCCCAGGAGATGCTACTACGGTTACTCAATCGTCCTAAGCCCCAGCAAAACCAGTCTCCAGAAGGCCAGCCAGTGGCTTCTCCTCCAGAGCCCATTGAACCCCACGTCCCCGAGAAGGAAGACGTCGGGGTTCGCAAGTCGTCGCCAGTTCGCACGTTCGGAACTCGTGAGAGCCGTGAGACTACTCCGTTCGAACCTCCAAAGCCACAGCCGCCTGTGCAGGGATCGATTTTCAGCTATGTTAACCCGTTCGAGCAGCTCGCTGCGGCGTCGCCACGTCCCCGATCTTCTCAGGCAAATAGAACTAGCTCTGCCCAAGCCGTTCCGGTTACTGATGTGCACAAGGGTAAGGAACGCGAGATGAAACCTTCCAACGGTCTGACGCGGCCTCGCGAAGAGTTTGACTCCCAGTCCAAAGCCGACCAAGCTGGAGGCCAGGGATCTCCTCCTGAAAAGAAACTCAAGACAAAGGAGAGTATGCCTGAAGCTCTTGGAAGTGTTGCCGAAAAAGTTGATACTGAAGTCAAAGCTGCCCTGGCTGCTCTGGCTCAAACCGTTAACGAAGAACAAGTAACCAAAAAAGTCGAAGATAAGACTGAGGAGCTCCAACAGTCAGCGACCAAGATTGCGAAAGAGGCCGAACAGGCAGGTGGCGGTGTTCCAGAAGAGCTTGAGAAAGAGCCCACTGGAAACATTCCCGTCAAACCTGTTGATGGAACTAAGGAAGAAGAAGATCTCGTGGACTCGTGGGAAAATGAAACCGAGCGTGTGGTTCCTGTCTACAGCTTTCCTTTGAAGCCTTTCGTATCCATTACTTGGAAGGGCGTCACTACTGATCCTCTCTCTGTACGGGACGATGGGTTCATGGACATTGCGAGACTTAAAAAGCCATTTGATCAACTTGATCGTTCTCTCACCTCAGCTAATGCGGAGTACATTGTTTACGCTCTTTCGAAGAATGGTGGAATGCGTATTATCCGTCAGGATGATGGCCGTGACAGACAGGTGTTCCGCTCAAGCAATGATCGCATCTTCAATGTTGCCTTGTGCCGCGCGGGGTCAAGCCCGCCGGAAGGTAAGGAAGAAGCAGTCTTGGGTATTGGAGTTAGCGGTTCTGTCTATTGGGCGTCTCTTTCCAATGGAGAGGATAACCTGTTTGAGAGGGATGCACTTGACACGCAAAGTTTGATACTTCCGCCTTTCCCTGCGTCTGACGAAAACACGTCTGGCGGCCAGCTGAAAACGCGCGCCAGGCCAAGTTCACGTCACCCCGAATTTTTTGCCATCGGCCGCGGGAAGTCAATCCATGTTGTGTGGCCAAAGGCTGCCATGTCTCCGAAATATGGTGTTTCGGGCGTTGATCGCAAAGTTGATACGGAAAAGTTTTACAAGGAACGAGCTCTAAAGATTTCTACCGGAAAAGCTGGAAAAGACTTTGTATTCAGCGACGATGATACCGTCATTGTTTCTCTTGACAAAACAGGGCGAATGAGGTTCTGGGATATCCACGACATGATTGACGCCAGCCCCGGGGCAAGCAAGCCTGATATTCGTGTGCCGCTTCTTACACTTGTGACTGGAACGCCCAACGAAAAGTCATGGCCTACCTCTGTTCTATTCATTGACAAGTCCCGACCGTACCTTAAGATGTGTGCCATGCGCTATATGCTTGTTGGCTTCAGGCAGAATCACACCCTTCAGTTGTGGGATTTGGGACTGGGAAAGGCTGTGCAGGAAATCAACTTTCCCCATGAGAAAGAATCAGATGCTATCTGCAGTGTTGCTTATCATCCCAGCTCCGGAATCATTGTCGTCGGCCACCCGACCCGTAATTCGATCTACTTTATCCACCTATCTGCACCAAGATACGCCCTTCCACCCATGTCCCAGAGCGCTTATATCCAGGGTGTTGTCGACAAAGACGAGAAGGTGTTTGGACCTCAATCCACCGCCTGCATGAGCGGAATTCGCGAGCTCTCATTTGGATCCAGAGGCCAGTTGAGAAGCCTTGAATTGCTTCCCCTGGCAAAATCATTTTCCTCGCAGCGAAGCGTAGAGGATGATACTGGCCTGTTCGAATTGTACGTCATGCATTCTCGTGGCGTCACATGTTTGAATATCAAAAAGGCAGACCTAGGCTGGAGCACCGACAACAAGATCCTCAAGCATGTTAGCAGTTTGGAAAACGGTTTGATTGAACTGAAGGATTTGCAGACTTTGTCTTCGCAACCTGATGAACAATCTGTCAGTGGCGAAGCTACATCGTCGGTCATGGGAAATAACAAAGAAGCTGCTAAGAAACCCGAGGTTGTAGCTGAGAAACCTCCATCTTCCCAATCGCCCCGTTCTGAGTCTCCAGCCAAGGAAGGAAAGAAAAAGACGCAACAAGCCACTCTAACAACTGCCTCGTTGGAGCCAGCTTCCTCGGAGAAGCCTGAGAAAAAGAAGAAGAAAAAGGGTGCAGCGGAGAATGGCACCAAGGCAAAAGAGGTTATTGAAGCACCACAAGCACTTGCTAATGGAGACGTTCAGCAAGACAATGAGCCAGCTAAAGCTGTCAAAACATCTCTGGTTGAGAAATCTCAAGTCGAAAAGCTTCACTTATCTGCGATCGTGCCCATGACAGACACGTCGACTGATGTCTGGGCCAAGGGAATTAACGACGTTAAGGAAGCTTTATCTGCAGAATTCTCTAAATGTCTTAACCATGAGCTTGGAGGGTTTTACGACCGCTTTAGCGAAGACAGACGTTCCCAGGATGACCTGTCAAAAGCGCGGCAGGACGCGATGTTGCGCCTTGTCTCCAGTACTCTGTCCGAGAACGTTGAAAAGAGCCTTGCCCGTATTATCAGTGATAATATTCAGTCAACCGTCGTACCAACTATCAGGAATGTGACAGCTGCATCTTTGGAAAAGAAGGTAGCTGAAGAACTTAGTAAGAATCTTCGTGCGACGATTCCTCAATCTATTAGCAATGTTTTCCCCGACGCCGTTACTCGTTCGTTACAAGCACCGAATACGCTCAAATCTCTATCCGAATTAGTGGCGCCTGCTGTCGTTAAAAGTGTGGAAAGCGAACTTAACAATGCCGTTCGCAACAAGATTATGCCGACAATCAAAAATGAGTTTACGCGTACAGCTGAGAAGTTGGTCACTGATGTCGAGCAAATGCTCGCTTCGAAGATCAACCAGTTTGAGACGCAACGTATAACCGATAGCGTCAAGATTGAGCAGCTTACTACTCAAGTAAACTCTTTAGTTCAAGTGATTTCAACAATGGCGGCGTCTCAGACGAAATTTCAAGGCGAGATCCTAGAAATGAGTCGTCGCTTTGAAGAGATGCAAGTAGCTGCTCAAGAACAGCGTGCTGCTGCTCCTGGACCTGTGGTTGAGGAGCGCCCTTCACCTGAGCTATCCCCTGAGGAAGCAGAATTACGAGAGATCACTCGACTGATGGAAGCTGGTGACTACGAAGAAGCATCAGTAAAAGTAAGTGAACCCTTTCCGTCACGCGCTACCAGCTTATTAATGATGTTCTAGTGGCTTCAATCTTCCCATCAGGCCGAGCTTTTTGACAAGCTCTTCGTCAAGTATAGCTCGGACTATCTCACAACTCTTTCGCCACTTCTATCCCTTTCAGTCAGCGCTGCTGTCACATCTTCCCTTGAGACAAATGTGTCGGCACGTCTTGACTGGCTCAAGCAAGTCTTCCGCACTGTCAATATCCAGGTATGTTCTAACCCAGAGCAGTTTATTTGTTTCGGCACATGCTTATGACTCTACACAGGACCCCGACATCGCCCAAGTCGTGCCTCAAATTATGGATGTTCTAATTGGAAGACTCCAGAACCTTTACATGTCTATCGCGCAGCATTCACCACACGATCCTATCCTCCCCAAGATTCCACCCCTCACTCGCTGGGCTCGAGATTTGAAGGAGGCGAACGGCTACTGATAAGGGTGAAAACGATCGATCAGCGAATTCTACCCAAAAAGCCATGCTCGTGATACTCATAAATGAGAAATGACAGATATATTCTTACACGCGATCTTCCCCGTGGTTTGTTTTCTCAGAAGGCTGAATCCTATCATCTTTGGGTTCATGGATATCTACCCTGATGCCTCTGTATCAACTCATGCCCATGTACCATAATGAAATTGTGCTTTTTACGTTTGGCATTTCTCTCCTGAAGTGTACGGGATGCTCTTGTTTTGTTTTTGCCCCACTCATCTGCTGCTTGAACCGTATTTTAAGAAAAGGTACGAATTCACTTTTGAGGACATCATTTTAGCTGGCTCAAACAAGCATGATAATATCTTAAAAAAAGGACGTGGAAAAGTCGAGACGGAGCTTGCATACCCACGGAAACAGGACTTGCTAGTTATGATTTTATTTTATTTTATTTTATTTCTTTTTTTGGTTCTCGACGAAGATTTGGGACTTGGGGAGATGGAAACGAGACGTCGATGTTGAGGAATGGTGATAATGGACAATTCACTCATTAGGGGGCTCGTGATTGACAGGATAGATTGGTAGCGAATATTGAGGGACAACGGAGGCCTTTTTTAAGGCTCTGGAACCTAAATTCTATCCTTTTTTTTTTTTTTTAACATGTCAACATGTAACTCGTCAATTATGTATTCAGCACAAATGCATCGTAACCAAAACGGGGATCTGGCCAAACGGGCCTCCGACTCCTCTCTATACAACACACGCTTCCATCATTTACGTGACCAAAAAAAAAAAAAAAAAAAAAAAAAAAGAAAAGGGGCAGCCAGTTGTTCTATGCATGAAATCCAAATCCATCACTAGCTCCCCCATCCTCATCCTCATCCTCCACTCCCTCTTCGACGAACTCAAACCCCATAGCCCTCCAATTCAACTCCCGTCTCCAATGCAGGCCATACCCCCTCTCCGCATCCAACGACGCCAGCTCGCTCCCTCGAGCTCTTCTCCCGACGACAACGGTGCGGAAGCGCGAGAGCAACATGCCCATCGCGCAGCATAGACACGGCTCGTGCGTGACGTAAACGTCGAGAGAGGTGCAGAGATAGCCGCCGCCGGATGGCGGGGAGAGGTTGGCTGTGTTGAAGAAATGCGATTCGAGTGGCGAGAGAGGTGGGTGGAGGAGGGGTTGGGCTTCAGGAGGAAGGGGTTTTGGATTTTGGGGAGGATCGGGCTGGGGATTGGGTGGGTTCGAGGTGGATGCTGCGGGTGGAATGGTGAGACGTTTATGTGATATCAGGGATATTACGCGCATGAGGGCGTGGTCGGAGGGCTGGCCTTCGCTGTCGGGGTGGTAAGGTTGGTCGTCGCTGTTGTTGGTGGTGGTAGGCTCATTCGGTGCTGCTGGTGGTGGGCTGCGCTGGTTTGGATCGTGGTATCGCGAATCACCGGCCGCCGCGACGACGGCTGAGAGTGGTTCGTCCAGGCTGGACTCGAGGATCGCCGGGTCGACCACGACAGCGCCGACTGCTCGACCGCGTCCCGATTGCTCTGCTTCTTCAGCTAACTTTCTGGCGAGAGCGAGGTAGAACCCCGCAGGCGGCTTGATTGAAGCTTGTGTTCGTGACAAGATCGTGGGAGGCGGCGAATGGGATGCCGGTTGGGCGGCTGGGTTGTATACCGTCGGCCAGTATTTTCGAGACCATTGTTGTGCTTGTTCTAGCGACGTGGGAGGCTGCAAGGGTATCCTCGTGGAGCGTAATTGCACGGCCGAAGATGGCGCTTCTGCACCATCGGACAGTATGGACCCCGTGGACGTAGTGGTGTGAGGAGCGAGTAGAGTTGCTAGCTCTGCGCGATCCGGTAGCGGCGGGGAGATCAGGACATGAATCGTCTTCGCACGGTTCGAGGTCGGTTCGGACAGGCCATTTTCTTCCTGCGGCTGTTTTAAGTGGTCTGGTAGATGTTCGCGCTTCGCGAAGCGTCGGAGGTATGCAAGATTGAGAGACGGATCTCTGGGGAACTTCGAGTCAAGCAGCCTATCGAGCACGGGTTAGTCCGTCGCCAACATCTGCTACTTCTGGAGGTGACGAGAGTCGGTTCGGACTTTACTACTTTATTCGCTGATTTGATGTCTATCTCCGCAACAAAGGCTTCGGCTAGGGTTCGTCAGTCTGTTAGCAAAACGTTGATGCAACCAGGGATTGAAAAAGTCCGTCGCTCACCGTCTTCAAGTGTTGGATGGAGCTCTTGGACCGTTGGCAGAGGCACAAGGCGGCCGATGATGGGCTGGATATGTTTCAAACTATCTCCAATTTTGATGGCAGACATCATAGTAGCTGGAGAGGTAAAGATGGGAGGTTATCGGGTTGTCGCATGAGAGGGGTCATGACGTGAAGCTGCGACAGTCTGCCAGACAATGTCAGCATGGGAAAGATGATATATTTTTGTGGATACTATTGAATCTAAACAAGCGCAAACTGACCAATTCTCAGTCTTGTCGAAATAAAACGTTGTTGTTCCTTGGATTGCTGTAATGGCGCTGCTTTGGCAGGCCTTCTGGCGAAAGAACTTGCGCAGGGAAAAAAAAAAAGGCTCAAGCCCTAAACCGATGCCCTAATTTGTATACCCAACTAACAGTAGAGTAACTACAAAGCAGCTCTCAGTGAGAACAGCTGCCCGACACATCTAATTATAACACATGAATCGAAAGATAACTGTTTTTCTTTTTCACATTGCTAATGTTGATATGTTGGTAACACAAAATGCAATTTCTGGTGAAGGACAACTGCACCTCGCTGGGAATCAACTCGACTATCAAATCACAACTGCAATCATGGCGCCACTGTGTAGCCTTGCCAGAGGTCGATTGCCTGAGCACATTCAATTTGGGATCCTTTTGTCCTTTTTTTTTTTTTCTCTGTTCTTTCTTTGTTTTCTGAAAACAGGAGTAAAGGCCAAATCCAAATCATGCAGCAGCAGTCATTGTGAAGTATGTATATAAGATCGATTTGAGAATATGTGCAAGAGACAGATGCAGAATGTATGTAGGTGCAACGCCTGTGCGTATGTGCGCGTGTTATTCCAGACCCCATCTAGTTAATCAAATGAAGAAAAGCCTCATAATTAGACTAAAAGACATCACCGAACTCCCCAAACATCATGCCCATAGACCAACAACATTAAATTGAAAAGAAGAAAAAAAGAAAAAAAATGTAGAGGGCCCTTCAAATGAGGGCTCATTAAGGGCGGGGAACAACACCAGCGCAAGTGAAGAGGAGGAGGGAGGAAATAGATATTATCATCAGACGAATTTCCCACTTTTTGAATGAGCCTTGGGAAAGATCCATCGTGAAGTATGCAGAACATGTCAGTGTCATTCGAGTAATTGATGGGAGAAAACAAAAAAAAAAAAAAAAAAAAAAAAAAAAAAAAAAAAGGTAGATGTCGCTTATCATTTCACTGGCCGGTATTGTTCTCTGGCTCCAACACATACTCATCGCACCTCTCGACGAGGCTTCGATAATAGTCGACCAGCACTTCTGGCTGGGGAACTATCCGCCATTCCACCCGCCAGAGGAATTCGAGCTCCAGCAAAGCCAGTTCTGCGATAGTGATACCGCCAACCCTGGAATACGTTTTGTTTGTCCAGAAGCTGTCACTTAGACCCTTGCTTGCAACAGTCGCCGCGGTGATGAGGAATCGGTGGACGGTCAGGCTAGATACCGTAAAGGCGGGATACAGAGCGCACAGTCGATCGATGTAGTAGACCATGCTCAGAAGGACGGGGGGCGAGAGAGTGGCGTGGGTGGTCAGACGCTGCAGGTAGTCCTGGACGGAGATGCGCGGAGGAGAGCGCGAATGGAAGCGTGTGAGGCGACCATCGCGCAGGGGGATCTGGTCGTTGAATCTGATCAGCTCCATGAGCATGCTGGAGATGAGAACGACCAGGTCTCGCGAATCGGCATTTTCATACTGCCGAGGGAGAACTTTGGGAGCCAACTGCTCTGGCCTGGGCCGTTTTGGTATGGAGCCGTCAGGTAGGCCGTCTTCGCCGGTGTTCGATCTCGTCGCCTTGCAACTCGCCGCTGCCCGTGTGTCCGGCGTGCTACGTTTAGTTCCCGCAGTGGCTGAGGGCATCCGTGAGCCAGGCTCAGGCGATGCAGAGGCTTGGGTCGATTGGACGTCAGACGAGGGCAGCTCGCCACTGAGAGCGGTGGTTCTGCTGCTGGTGGTGGTGGGGGAAGGGAGTGAGGTGGAATTGTCGGTCACAGCAGCTGTTTCGCGGGACGAGGGCTGCTGGTGGGTAAGGGGCACCACTCGTTCAGCTGGGCTGGCGGGACGGGAGTACTGGGTACCGGCATCGACGGTCTGGCGGCGGAGGGCAACCTGTATCTCCTGTCTGACGGGAATGCTACGCACGCAGGGAGCGTCGGGACGGGGCAGGCGGGACGAGGCAGGCGAGCGAGCAGGAGCAGCAGCAGCAGCAGCAGCAGGAGGAGGAGGAGGAGGGGGCGGCGGCGCTGCTGCACGATGGGCGTCAAAGAACGGCGACTGAGAGGGAATGTCTGGGGCAGCGGCAGGAGGGTGATTGGGAGAGGCGCATAGCAGCGCGGCGGCGGATGGCGAGGAGGAGATCATGCCCCTGTGCGCTGGAAGCCAGGGAAGCACGCACGTGGGCCTGGGCGGGAGCGGCTATGGCGCGCGAGGGGGACGACGGACGGGGGGCAGAAGAAGACGGTCTAGCAGGCCAGCGCTGTCGAGTCGGGCAGTGGGATGGGAACGGCGCATCTTGGCCCATCTGCGCGTCGGGGAGGGAAAAGAGAGAACAGGCCCGGGATTCCTCGAGTCGAGCGTTTTCGTTAGTTACAACAACTTAAGTTCTCTTTTGGGCCCAGTGAAGGTTTCGCCGTGTTGCCTTTTTTTTTTTTTTTTTTGGGCGCTGGAAATTATGTCATCAACAGCCCTGCTTATGTAAAACAACGCTAGTCCAGGAATGGCATAGCTGTATTACATAATAAGTACCATCTGCTTGGCAATAATGCTGACATAAGCATTGCTGATGTCATGAAAAAACTGCAAAAAAAAAAAAAAAAAGAGACAGGGAGAGAAGAACGAGAAGAGAGACTTGAAGAGAACAGGGACAGCAAGTCGTGCAGAATCAAGAGACGAAGACAGCAGTCGTGCAGAATCAAGGGATGAAAGACGAGACGATGCGACTCCAGCTTCACCATTTGTCACCATGCTCCTGAGGGTCCCTTCACCCAAGAGATCAACCGTGTTTCCCTGAGTTCAATCGCCACCATTGTAGGCCACACACAACGCACACACACACACACAGAGACACACACACACGCATACTGTGCTGTGATTGTCTGCCAAAGCTCCCTTTTTTGTTCCTTTCTTCCTCCCCCCCTGCACTTTTCCATCAACCTAACCCTTGTCGTTGGGTCGCAAAAGATAGAGAGAATCATAGACCAGCCAGTGGAGTTCTAAGGTGTGTGTGTATGTGCATTTCCAGCCTGGATATTCATCGCGATCGCTGTGCCTGAAACTTGCCGTTTTGAATGTCTCATCACACCCCTTGTTGAGCTGAAGCTGAATACTTCTCGGTTATCCAGGGATTTCTGTGTGTCTGGGCCAACAGATCATTACTTCCCATTTCCTTGTTTTGTTTTATTTTATTCTGCTTTTTCCTTAATTCCTTACAAAGATGACGATAATATCTCGTCCCCAGCTTCTTTCGGAAATCCGGGATCCCGAGTCTCCCAGTTCGCGGATCGCCTCGCTTCGGGCCCTGAAGAACGAACTCATCGGCCATGACCAGAAGAAGCAGGCCTGGATCGAACATGGGATAGTGCCGGTCTTGTCGACTCTGCTGGCCAGCTCCCTCCTCGCCGGGGACAGGCCCGCGACCGTGCAGACAAACGGAGATAAGGGGTGCTCCGCCTGCGGGGATGGCTTGGCTGCTGATGCTGCTACCCACCGCGAAGCTGTCATCATCATCAACAGTCTCGTGCAAGGTCAGTGCACGCTTTTTCACATTATTCCCCAATCCCATACCATACCACCATTGGCTCTGCGGTGTGCTGTGCTGAACGGTCTCACTTCGGGATATCGCAGGCGGCCCAGCGTTCATTGCCCCGATTCTTGCCAGCGACATCTTGCCCTCGCTCTTTGAGATTCTGTCTTCGACGCCCTCCTCCTCCTCCTCCTCCTCCCCCGCCTTAGACCTGGCCGTCCTCCAATGCCTTCACACTATCGCGGACAGACTCCCTCTAGCATACGAACACGGCTACTCGCAGCTTCGACACCTATCCGCACTCCTTTATTCACCGGTGCATATCACCAGCCTTCTCAGGATCCTCAAGCAAACTTCGACTCTCTCCAGCGCACAGTCCTGTATCGAATTGGCCGCGGAGCTGATCTCCAAAACATGCACCGAAGAGTCACACAAGGTCACGCTTGCCGAGGCCGGTGTGCTTGATGCCCTCGCCACCAGGGTAGCATCTTTCATAGTAGCGCAGGGTTACGTCCTTCCTGGAGCTGAAAACTATGCTGGAGCGCCGGGGGGCTTGGGTTCAATACCGCCGCCCGCCCCGCCTAATGCGAAACTCGGCCCCATACTCCGCGCCATATGCGTGATCCTTGAGTACTCGAAGTCCCGCGCAGACCACTTCCTTACCTCTCCGGCCATCGTGACTGTATTTCCTCGAAATATCCAGAATATCCCCCTTGGCGAAGTCAAAAGAGGGCCATGGGGTTCCCATCCAGTGGGATTTGTCGTGTCCAAGCAGAACTCGTCAAACCCCATAGATTCACTCTTACCCACTGTGCCCTCTCCCCAACCTACAGGATCAACCAGTTTCCCTCCCTTGGGCTCCCATTCTTCTTCTTTCGACAAGCATGCTCATTTCTTCAGCCCTCCCCCACTTCAGAGCGAGTCGCCGTCTGCCTCTGACGAGCATGAATGCGCAATAATATCGTGGCTGGTTTCCATTGCGAGGGAAGGGGCGGGGATGGATAGGCTTCTGGCCATCAGATTAGTAGCTATCCTGTTTCGTCTTGGCCTCGCTAAGAAGCACCGCGTCACGATGCTCGGATACTTAGTCGTGCCATTGCTCCTCCAGATGCTGGAGAAGGGATACACTGCCCCGGAAGATACTGAATCGAGCGAGAGTGGGTCGATCTCACAGACATCAAGGGTAAAAGAAGAAGCGCCTGCTACGCTCGCCACGTTGGTCATGGACAGCCGAGAGCTTCAGAAGCACGCTGCCGACGGTGGTGCCATTAAGAAGCTTTCACAGATGTTGAAGGAATCGTTCAACGCAGTTGAAGACGCTGGAAGATCGATGTGGAGTCCCGTGCCAAACGGGACGGCCTCTCTTAAAGGATTCCAGCCGGAGATCTCCTCCCTTGGACCACCCGGAGTTTCCCCCTCGGTGTTCCACAGAGTGAGGGTTCGAGAAGGCGTTCTAAGAGCGCTTTCGGCGCTCTCGCTCTTCAGAGAAGAGTACCGCAAAGCTATCTGTGACAATGGAGTTGTACCGCTTGTGATCGATTCCTTAAAGCCATATGAACCGGAATCCACTGAGAGTTCCAGTGACGCAAAGTCAGCAGCCGTTGAAGGGAATCCAATCCCGACACTGCTCGCTGCTTGTGCGGCTGCCCGATCGCTGACTCGCTCCGTAAGCGTGCTACGCACCAGTTTGATCGATGCTGGCGTTGCAAACCCGATATTCAAACTAGTCAAGTCTCGAAACGTTGAGATTCAAATTGCGGCTACGTCTGTGATTTGCAATCTAGCCCTGGATTTCAGCCCGATGAAGGAAGTAAGTCTGAGCCCGGATGCTCCACGTTCAAGAAACCTCGGTTCAACTGACTCGATATTCAAGGCGATCATTTCGGCGAATATGATTCCCACGCTTTGCGAACACTCTCACTCCGAGAACACGAAGTTGCGGCTGGAGTCAATCTGGGCTTTGAAGCATATTGCTTACAACTCCACCAACGACATAAAGATGAAGATCGTTGAGACCCTTGAGCCTGCCTGGCTTAAGCGTGTTATCTGCGAGGATCCAACTGATCCGTCGATACAGCGAAAAGCCGAGGAGGAGATGACGGGTAACGAGATGGAGATAACTCCACCTCTTGGGGAACCGACCGATATTCAGAATCTAGTACATGGCTACAACAGCAGGGACTCAGAATCACAGACTCCAGATCTTCGAATGATCGATACTGTTATGCCTGCTAAAGCGAGCCTTGATACGTTCCTGACAGACAGTGCCCGACGAAGGAAGCTAGCATTGAATGGAGATCTTGACCATACGAAACAAATGCGTCGGGATGACATACAGGTTCAAGAACAGATTCTCGACCTCGTGCGGAATCTGATCTGTGGTACCGGAGCCCCAGAAATGATTGATTACTTATTTCAAGAGGTTACGGATCTGTTTGATATCCTTGCAGACAAGCTGCGTCCTAAGCTGCCTCCTGCTCACGGCCGCAAAGATCCTACCTCTAAAGATAATTCAATTCCCACCGAGATTCTCTCCTCGGTGACATATATCATGATCAATATCGCCGCGGGTCTGCCCCGTCATCGACAGCTGCTCATGCTACACCCAGACCTGCTGAGACTCATGATGCCTCTCTTCCAGCATGCAAGCAAGGAAGTGCGGGTGAACTGTGTGTGGGTTGTGATCAACCTCACAGTTGAAGATGATCAGCGCGATCGTCCGACCTGCAGAGAGCGCGCAGCCAAGTTGCGAGAGCTTGGAGTCCTGGAGCAGCTGGTAAGATTAGAGGACGATCCCGAATGTGATGTGAGGCAGCGCACAAAGACCGCACTGGACCTGATGGGCAATTTGTTGGCGTCAGCTTGCTGATTTGGTGAGATAATGCCTGATCGCATACTCTCTCTCCCCCCCTTCTTACATTTTTTTTTCCCCCCCTTTTAATCCAGACCCTTATGTTTTACCCGTTATTGCACACTTTATACCCTGGTTATTATTACTTTTTCTTTTCTTTATAAAGCATTACATTGGACTCGGATTGAGTATGGTTTAACATTCCTCCCCTGCATGTCCTTAACGATCATGATTGTCTTATCTGTTCCAAAGCATGGGGGTAATTGGATTTAGAATATTTTGAGCGAGGCGTGGTTTTGGCAGCAAAAGTGAAAAAGAAAAGATGCATGCGTTAATTGGAGTAGCAGTTGTGTTCAGGCTGAGCACCTTACAGCGATTGCAAGCATTGTTTATAAAATAAATTGCATATATATACTCTGCATATTCAAGGTATACCTGTGTTGCTACCACATCCCCGCGGGTGGCGAATGTTAGCAGCTTGAAGCCAGCTTGGTGGGGTTTCGGGATAGCATCACCGCTAAGCTTTCCCCGCCAGCTGGTTGGTTTGGTAGTTAACCAGATACTGAGTTCATTGCTTCGTAGTGAGTTTCATAAAGTGATCAGTAGATCAGGCACCATCAGAGACAACCTCGTAACAGACAAAGCCAGTTCCATCTCAGAATATCGTGCCCAACGGTCTCATTGTTCCCTGCCAGTGATGGTTATATAGTTACAACACTTACCACATAGAAATTTACCCCTCTGCTCAACCATAACGAGCCAAACCCCTCAGAATTAAAAAAGGGAAAAGGACGCACAACTCACTTCCAATATACTAAAACGGGAGACCCAAAGAACATGTCTTACATCTCCCACCACTCCACCTGCCAATCCATCCTCGCAGCGCTCTCCCTCTCCGCCCTCGACCCGTCCAAAGCAACCCTCTCCACCCACCGCCGCGGATCGGGCTTCGCATCCACCGCACACCTGCGCGTCCTCATCCCAAACCCAGAGAACCCACAAGCCGAGATAGAGAGGCACTTCTTCATCAAAACGTCGTTATCATCGTTATCCCGCTCCCACGTTTCCAGCGACGGCCCCCATCCCGATCCCGCACCGGACCCCGCGATGGAAATGTTCCGCGGCGAATGTGCCAGTCTGAATGCGATCGCCGCGGTCGTGCCGGCGCTGTGTCCGCGCGGTCTAGCGTGGGGTAAGCTGGGCGACGATGGCAGCGGTGGATGGTTTCTTGCTACGGAGTTTTTGGACCTGGGAGGCCCGGCGGGGAGGGGAGGGAGGAGTTCGTCGGGCGTGAAAACATCAAGGGCGCGCTTGGCGAGGAGGCTGGCTCAGCTGCATTGTACGCCGGCGCCGCCAGCGCCCACGTCGGTCGTCGGAGATGAAATTGTCAATTTGGCGGAGAAGAGGAAGAAGGAGGAGGAGAAAAGTGATAATAATAACGTGGAGAATAATAGTGGGGTTGGCGATGAGGACGATGGGCGATTGCAGTTCGGGTTTCCGGTGCCGACGTTTTGTGGGGATGTGAGGCAGCCCAATGAGTTTCGTCGGTCGTGGGCTGAGTTCTATGCGGATCAAAGGTTGCGGACGGTGCTTGCGGAGTCGGAGAAGAGGAATGGGCCTGATAAGGAATTGAAGGACTTGGTGGAACGGGTTGCTGTGGAGGTTGTTCCAAGGCTACTTGGTGATGGCCACCTAGGATATGATAGGCGCGGGAACGGGAATGGGATCGTTCCTGTGGTTGTTCATGGCGACTTGTGGAGTGGGAATGTGGGGAGGGGGACGATACTCCGTGCCAGAATCAGTGATGATGGCGATGATGCCGGTTTCCACGAGGAAAAGGAGGACATTGGCGATGTGGTATATGACCCATCAGCTTGCTATGCGCATAGTGAGTTTGAGCTTGGGATTATGAACATGTTCGGGGGTTTTGGCAGGGACTTCTATGAAGAGTACCATTGTCTGGTGCCGAAGACAGAGCCAGTGGATGAGTATGTGGATCGAGTCAAGCTATACGAGTTGTACGGCCAACCCTTTGAAGTTTGCGAGTCGAGTGAGTCAATGCTAACACGGGCACATCTAGGTATCATCACTTAAACCATCATACTATATTTGGTGGTGGTTATCGATCCGGCGCTGTGTCCATCATGCAGAAACTGCTGAGCAAGTATGGTCATCACTAAGATTTAACTATGACATGGCACAGGGAACGCGCTAGTAATGAGAATGGAAATCTGAAAGCCACAAAGACAACTATCCCAGAAAAACCGTGGAACCGAGGGCCTGAGCTGGCAGCCCAGAGGGAAACCACCCGGCCCTTTTCTGCCACCCAAACGTTTTGGATTAAATTCTCAAGCTCGGGCCCCGCCAACCCACGCCTTCGCTGGAGCTCCTGAGAACCGTGGATTATAAGGGAGAATATTTAGAGTAGCGAAAGGTCTGATAACCTCGGGTGCTATCCGATTATCTAAATAGGGTTATCTAGGATGCGCCGTTTCAACCTCTGGTCACCTTTACCGGCTGGTTTTGTGCAAGATTATCGGCATACCTTTTTGTATATCGGCAAATAATACTCTTTCTCGCTGAGTGTATTGGCTACAGAGTTTCTGCTGCCAACTGCATCCACCCACTCCCTCCACCTCTCCCAAACCTGCTCGTCTTCGCCGCCTTCACCTGGTTCTGGAATCCTCAGGCCACCCTTGAGATGGTCGAGTAGCCAGAGTCTCATCGCCCACGGAGCAAGTGCAACATCGGGCATGGTGAAATCTTCACCGAAGAAGTACGGCCCGCTACTGTCCATCGCGTCTATGAACTCTTTCAGGTGGCCTAGAAACTCGTTGTGGGCCTTGGCGATCTCTCCTTCGCCCTGGGCCTGCAAGAAGCGATTGAAAGAGGGTATGATCCGCGACGTCACAAAGTCCACCCAGGTCTTGGCCCTGGCCTTCTTGTACGGATCAAGCGGGAAGAGGTGTGGCTGATGAGACGAGAAGACATCGTCGAGGTATTCGTTGATGATGTTCGATTCATAGAGCGGTTTGGAGCCGTTTGGCTGGGGACAGTAAAGCGTGGGGATCGGCCCACGCGGATTTAGTGACAGGAGAGAACTCGGATCGAGGGACGCATTGACTTCGATGTATTGGTAAGGAATCTGTTTCTCCTCGAGAACGATCCAGGTTTTCTGGACTACAAAGAGAGGGCGAGGTGATTTGTTAGATCAAACCGTCGACCTGGAAGTTTAAAAATATCTAGGGGAAAAGGAAAAAGGAAGAAAGGGAGTATCTGGTTCTAAGAAAAGAAAACTGCACGATTGCATACCGAACCTACACCCATTGTCAGAATTCCGCTTTAGTTTGATCGAAACAAAGAGGGGAAAACAAAAAAGCGATAAAGAACGTCAGGCACGAAATTGCAAAAAAAAAAAAAAAAAAAAGGGGTGAAGAAAAGAAAAGCAAAACTCATACGGGCAAAACCAGCCAGCATAAAACTTGAATGGCTGCTCACTGGAGTGCTTTTCTACAACCTCCTTTGCAGGACCCGTTGCGATGGGATGGATGTCTGCGTCCGGGCTGGAAGGCCCCAGGGTGACGGCCATATTTTTCAAGGTATTTCTAGGTACTCTGACCGAATGTATTTGTATCAAAGCGGCTATTATCTATAAAAAATGAGGGAAGATCTTCAAGTCTCCCAGTGAGTTCTACCTGACAGCGAGTTCAGTCTGGGAGAGAAGAAAAGGAAAATTCGGTGGTGCGACTTTGGGTGGTTCGGTAAAGAGAGCAGCAGGCAAAAAGAAGAGTGAATACGAGAGAGACGGCGTCCCCGGCCAACTTATAAGGACGAGCAATGAACAGCTGAGCAGAAGAGGCCTAGCGATGACGTTGTGAACACAGCGGCATCTGGGCAGCGGACGCCCCCCCAAGCGCCCTGGTTCCCTGTCTACAGGAGGGGCCTGCTGCCGGGGCCGTCATGTGATGCCCCCCCCAGCTCAGGGCAGGCTCCTGGGGCTTGCATCATCCGGGCGGGTGCTGCGGAAAGCTAGTCCCTGGAGGCATCCGGGGGGCGCCGGATTGGATTTGGGTTGCTGATCATCGAGGACGGTCAGCATCGAGATTCGGATCAAGGCTGGTTAGTGCAGCGATCGTGGTAGCTGGCGCAGGTTTTGTGTAACTTGGCCGTGGTAGGCTCGTGCTGGAGTATGTAAGACGCGATGATCCAGTTTCCAAGGAAGATGCTAGATCGCGTGAAGGTGAATTGCGCTCTGCTTGAGGGTGTTGGAGGCATTCTCAAGCAGACAACAGTCATGTTTAGATGAGTATGGCTGCTTCTTCACCAATGTCAATTCACCTCTCTCATCACGGGAAACCCAATGGCTAGTGAAATAAAAGCAGCGCCTGAGGGGCAGCTTTTGCAAGAACCTGCTGTTGTTACACTTTTTGCTACCTTCACTACAAGTATCGCAAACCATTCACTGTGGCTTCACATTTCCCGTTAAATACAGCGCGATCAAAGACTGGAAAGTGAGCTCAAAGAAAGAACGGGAGTTTTCATGGCTTTGTCACTCGCACTACGCTACTGTTGCTTCTGGAGCCGGAAGATATCAGGGCGCTCACGCGTCGTCGTCCATGATAAAGGTCAGCATCCAAACCGATCCACCTGCATCCTCTCTCAACAACCATTTTCCTTTTTCTTTTCAATCCACCACGACCAAGAAACAACAGTCGCCATTGTCTGCTGCTTGCAGAATCATCGATATCGGGCAAGAAAGGGCCAGATCATTGTCCCAACACCTGCTGATCAGATGCATCACTCAGAGAACATGCAAGAAGCTGCACTCATGCGCCAATGCTTGAAGTGCAAGACAGTCGTCGAAAACAGCCAGGTCTATATGTGCCATATCAGGCCTGGAGTGTTGCGCCAATGCCATGTGTGTGCTTTGATTTTTGAAATCGAGTGCGAATTTGAACGCCACAAATTGGTCGCCCATCCTCGGTAAGTTGCCACCAGCTCTTTTCAGCAACGGCCAGCAATTCTCCTCTGACAGAGTCCACCTAGAGTTTTGAGCACGAATAATACTGCAATGGCCAAACCGCAGCCAGCGCCAGTTGCGCCTGAGGGTCGGGAACAGGGCTTCAGATACCTTCCGATGGACGATTACACCGAAGTGCGCCCTCGGGAGAATCGCACTGTAGATGCGCCGGGACCGCTTCCAAGTGAACTCCGCTCAGATCCAGAAACCTCCACGGACATACTCGAGGACCCGTTCGATGATAGATGCGCCCTGGCCCAAGGTAGTGAAAGCGGCAAGTCAGTCGAAATAGCGTTCTTAGAGCCATTCCAGGGAGACCTGTTGCTAGACCTCAGCCCACCAGACGAGAAAGCAGGCAGCCTTAGTAAAGCCATCAGCCAGTTCCAAAGCGTGGTGAGAAGCCGACCGACACGCGAAGAGCCTGAAGCCGAGCACCAGCAAAGCCCGACTCAAGACGTCGAGCTGAAGAAGAGAGTTCCGATCTCCACCACCACGACGCCAACCGCATCTCCCCCTTCGGCGAGAGTCACGCCGCAGGCCTCTGGACCGATCAAGGCATCTCCTCCTTCAAGTGCCCAAGCACCGCCTCAGCCACCCAAAGTCAAATCGCCGGAGCAAAACACGCAAATGAGCGGTATAATGTGCTATGAATGCGGAACAAACTTCAGCAATGTTATCGCACTGCACCAGCACCAGATGATGGACAAGCACAACTACTGCGAGTGGTGCTATGCCTTCTTCGCTGATCGAACTCTGCTTCACAAGCACAAGCAACAGGTGCACAGCTTCAAGTGCGCAGTGTGCGGACTGTCCCATTTCACCGTGGAGGACCTCATCGCGCACCAGCAGCTCAAGGCACACTGCTACTGTAAACCCTGCAACAGTTACTTCAAGGACCAGAAGAGTCACAGACAGCACATGGCCGCGATGCACGACAACTCTCGCCATACCCCCAGCCCTCCCAAACCCACGGCCACCGTGGCGGCGTCTGGAGGAAAGTACAAATGCACTGTCCCGTCGTGTGGTTTTACATCAGCCACAGCAGAGCAGCTCCGGAGCCATCAGCAGAAGGAAAATCACAACTTCTGCCGACCCTGCAACAAAGCGTTTTGTGATGCTATGGCGCTGAAAAACCACAAGAACGGTGGTGGACGCCATGACGAGAATATCAAGAAGCACGAGAGCGGCTAACTAGGTTGTGATAACAACAAAGATGTCAATAATGACAAATTCTGAAAGCAAGATTAAACAAGAGCCACTCAAAGCAAGGAGGAATATTGAACTCTAAATTTCTGATGGGCTGGATGGTATTTATCATGGACAGATTGGTTTTGCGGGGAATGGCGTGTGTATCGGGGTTGCTGTGGACAGAGGGAACGTAACCATCTAGTTAGATAAAGCAAAAAGCATAACAAATAGAGGCCACTACAGAGTACAGCACACAATTTGCTCATTAGTTCTCCGCCCAGGGATGATAAGGGGGGGGTTTATCAGGCTGAGTTTGTGCCACAGCTGCTGATAATGCCTCAGCTTGCTGATGATGCCTATACTCCGTAATTGACTATTAAGTAACCGTTCGGATATCCAACAGCTAGTTAGCTAACTAGTTAAGTAATAGACACACAACAGCAGTAAACGCAATGCCGCTGGCTTCTGCCCTTGTCACTCTTATGTGCGATGAACCTCCACTCTGGTTGAGTTTTTTATTTTTTATTTTTATTTCTAATTTCTGAATTTGACTTTTCCACTTCAGCGCAACACTTAAGTAGCGGATAATCTCTTTCTCCGGCTTCACCTTCAGCATCACCAATTCATCATCACCCTAAGCTCGATAATTGATATCGAGATGCTTGGTCGAGTAGCCAGATATATGTTAAATAACAAACAATGTCTCCAGCGAGGAATGAAAATGCCCGCTCTGCAAATCAGAACCATGCACCTCCGCCTCCCCTTCCTCCACCGGCTGGCCCTCATCCGTCTTTCATCCAGGTAGCAAATCCATATGTTTTTGAGAGGACGGTGCAGGAATGCTTTACGGCTACGGGGGTGAATCCGCAGCGGGAAGACAGCATCCGGCTCCAGGGTATAACCTGGATTGACAATGTGCGAAAGGCACTCCATTTGTATGCTTATTCACTTTTTTTTTATTAAGAAAAAAAAAAAAAATATATATATATATATATATATATATTTAATCTATCATTCTGCTTCTCGCGCCTGTGCTAATCTTCTATGCGTACAGGCCCGTGCGGACATTTAATACGGCGGCCATTTACTATCATAAGTTCCGCCTGGTACATTCTGACAATGAGTATAATCATGTCGTATGTTTTGTCTCCTCTTGGCCCCGCGTGCTGCGTACTGACCTATTTCCCTTCAAGGATGCGGCTGCAGCGGCGCTTTTCACCGCTTGCAAGATCGAGGACACTCTCAAGAAATCGCGAGACATTCTTTGTACCGCATATAACCTAAAGCTATCGCCTGCAGAGAAGCTCTCTGCAGATGATCCTGTACGTTCATTTCCCCGTCCGTAGCACTCCCTGCCTCATTGAACTTAAGGACACTTACGAAGTGGTGTTAGATCTTCGAATCGCACTCTCGCAGCATCATCGGTCTGGAAAGACTTATGCTTGAGTCCTCTGGCTTCGACTTCCGGAACCGTCATCCCCAGAAGGTTCTCTTGAAATTCATCAGGCAGCGCGGCCTAAGGAAGGATTCTAAAGTCGCCAAACTCGCGTATATGATCAGTCTCGATTTATATCGCACGTTTGCTCCGTTGAAGCAAACATCCACAACTATGGCCTTTGCTTGTTTAGAGCTGGCAGGCAGGTTATTGGACGATCCGTTAGAGGATATCGACCTGGACTCGGAGTATGAACGCTGGCAAACGTCCCGGGCGGAAGTAATGGGTATGATTCCTTCCAATCAACGCACCCGCGATAATAGCCCATGAGCTCACACAACCCGTGCTTTTTATCTAGAAACAATCCTTGACCTCCTCGAACTCTACACCCACCACCGCAACTCAACCTCTATAGGCCCTGATTTCTCCCTCGACACGCTCCTCAACATCCGCATTCCACTCAACCAAGAGGCCGATTTCAAAAAGCTACCTCGCTACGCCTACTTCAACAGACGCAAGCCCGAACCAAACGGTGTTCGAGCACCTAATGGATCGAAAAGGGACAGGGATAGTAAGAACAATAAGAACGCTGCCGGCCCAGCGACAAAGGACGCCCCGCGCGTCAACCCGCTCGCACCAACTGCTGCGCACGACCCTGCTCGCCGATCGACGGAGAGGGGTAGAGATGCTACGATACGGTTTATGTTGAACCCGGAGCAGGCGAGGGCCGAGCGCGCGACTGTGGAGCAGTATTTTAAGGTGGAGATGGAGCAGTATGAAGTGGAGGAAGAATGAAGGAAAAAGAAAGAAGAGATACAATGAGGCAATAACAGCCCTATTTACCCGAGAAACACCCAAGATGACCTTGAAGCTCGTGGTATATCGTCACTCTCAATCCGCTAAGGGACTTGCGCAAGCGCACGTCGGGCCGATATGCATTTTCCCAGGTGTACGCCCAAAAGCTCTGTCGGTCGAAACTACGGTGCTGCGGACAAGGTTCTGATTCGATGTCTGCCTCCGAAGGACAGGAAAGAGCTGAGCCCGCTAATCAAGATCGGTACCAGAAGCTCAAAGCACGAGCATATGAGAGGAAAGAATAGCTCGCCAACTAAACATGCCGGTCGGCTTCTCCCTTTGGCGGTACGCATTCCATGGCTGGGTTTTCCATCTAGTCCCTATATACACACAAACTCTCCGAGAAATATCCTCATGTTATTCGCACACACTCATAGATCTGTGCGCGTAATCTAAAATCTATACTTCATCAATTTTCCTGATCAATAGGAGTGACACTCTGTATACCCATATTACATTATCAATTATCAAGAAACAAAATTTACTTAGTTAAATCAATCTTCTTTGCTTTGTCTTCATCAATAAGCCTATCACCGAACAAATTTGTAAAATAATAAAAGGGAACGCCGCTGAACTGGAAATAAAATTAAAATATAAAAATGAAAGTGCGAAGAGTTATAAAAGCAAGCCTGCCTATGATCTGCGAGAAGCGCAAAAAGCCCATCATGTCAACTTATTACATACGTATACCTTACCGTATGGGAATATGCAAATATCAAAAATGTTTGGTTCCTGTCAAAGCGTGTTTTTGAAATGCAAACCTCGACCCTGCATGCCATCAAGGGCAGTTTATAACGGTCGAGGGAAAAAGGGAGAATGGTTCCAGAAGAAAAGAACACACAAGAAACGGTTACCCATAATACCTCAGTGCTGATGTGAATGACCTATAGAAAGAGGCGTAAAAAATAAAAATAAAAAAATAAAAATAAAAGCCAAGATTAAGGTTGAGAAAGTTTAAAAATTCTTTAGGGAAGTAAAAGGCACATTCACATTAGGTTCTTTTGTCTTTCTTTTTGAAACTGAAATATTGACAGGTATCATGCGCTACAACAGTACATGCATGCACGCATGCAAACTGCTTTAGCAGCAGGGATAGAGTTAAGGATATTCACGGAGGAGGATTGTAGGGTCGCCAGATGTAATGCAAGTCGTGATCAGACAAAAGGTCTTCAGAGGTGTTGAATGTTTGAAGAGTCTAGACAGACCCAAGGTCATCTACGGAGCTTGAAGTCGCCATTGAAACACTCGAGGAGCTAGGGAACGATTAGTACAGGTGATTTGAGTCGGCAGCACTATAGATTCACGGTGGACATACTGTTTCAGATACCGCGCCCTGGTTGTATAAATATTTGGCCAATCCCTTCATAACGTCAATCTGCTCGTCGACCGTCAAACCGGTAATGGCAGCCTCAATGACACCGCCAACGCTCGCCTTGTGGACCGCGATAAAACTGTGATAGTACATATACGAGAAGAAGCCCATGATGAACTGACAGTCCATGCGATCGGTGATTCCGCCATGTCCGGGGATCGATTCGCCAAAATCCTTGATCTTAAACGTGCGCTTCAGGCCGGATGCGAAGAAGCCGCCAAAGGGAGCGATGAGAGACGCAAACGTCGCGAACATGAGAATGTGGAACTGCATGGGAGCGATGTAGAAGGTTCGGCCGACATGCGACCAGCCCGGTAATTGATATGGCTGCGGTTTGAATACCGGGTTGAGGTTGCATTCCAGGCCTGTCAGGACATTCGATCCCAGATCGTTCACGGGGCAAGTGAAGTATTTGTACTTCATGAGGATGTTTGTCATGGCATAGCCAAAGATGATGGTGCAGATCCAGGCACCAACAAACCCCTCGACGGTTTTCTTTGGAGATAATTTGATCAGCTGCGTGCGACCAAATGTGATGCCACAGACGTAGGCGAAGATGTCGTTTGTGATCACGAGTGAGACGGGAAGGAAAAACCAGATCATGCCCTCGAAGATATTGTTCATGATAAAATGTGCTTGAACAACAATCAGGAAGAGCGCCATGTGAGTCCACGCGAACTGGGTAAACTGGAACCTGTAGTGGCCCTTCTGAAGAGAACCGACGAAGAAGACGAAACCTGAGCAAAAGGTGTCAGCAAAAGGTTCATGGACGGGTTAAATGACCACGGAAATCTGACCCATTAGATAGAGCATAAAGCTGAGGAATCGATGATGGGTCGCAAGGGGTAAAAGCACTCGGTCAACGAGTAGAATGTGTTTAAAGTAGTAGATCACGCTCTCTCCGTACAGGAAATACATAGTCGTCGCAAGAAAATACCAATTGAGCGCTTTCGTGAAGCGCAGATTCTTCGCTTTGCTGGGCACGTTGGCGATAGCGATAACCTCCTTGAAGGATACGATCTGGATAGCCGTAACGATTGCGATCACGTAGATGTGGCCCGAGAACATGGCGATGAAGAACCCAGCGATCATCACGAACGTCCATATCGTTCGAGTTATAAACGTCTGCTTCTTCTTCTCGTATTCCGAAAGCTGGCTCTCGGCGGGTTCCTGTTTCTGCGGCAATTGATCAATCGTCAGTGCCGACCCAGCGTTGTTTGATCGAAGGAAACCATGCGAGCTCTCATACTATGTGTGAAGCCATCTCCCCCTTTTCACCATTGCTATCCTTGCGGGGACTGGGGGGTTCGGATGCGTCGGTGGTGTCGGAATGGGTCCTGGAGGCTTCATTGCCGGACCGATGTTGAAATCGGACATTCCTTCTCGGTCTGCCCATCGTGGATGAAGCGAGGGCTGTTTCTCATGGGCTGGTCGTCCTGGGCGAGAGCAGAGCTTCGTGGATTTTGAGCAAACCGTTGGGGCTTCGGCGGGAAAAAAAGACGTTGGGCTGAGCTTCGAACAAGCTGCAAAGACAAGCTCCAAGCGCATGTGCGGGCGGCAGGACAGCACAGAATTTATAAGAAAACGACAGCAGGACAGCTGTTTTTCACCGAGGGGGGTTCTGCTCCGGAAGGGGATGGCAGGCTGTTGTGTGATTTTCCGCAGATGTTTGTTGGTTCTGAATCAGTCAGTCTTTAACAACCAACAAACTCACTAACTGACTAGTTAACCAGTTGGTGTTTGCACATGGAATTCTTACGTCAACGCAACGGCGGCGCGACGAACTCTCCGCCGCAGCACGCTGGCTTTTGCCTCGAGACAGCCGGTCAGGCAGAGACAGGAATCCTTCGCTTATATTGCAGCGGCACGCCATCGCCTGTTGGAAGGGTTTTGGTTCTTTTCTCGTTCGTCTCTGCTCCCACACACACACATATGAATCCAAGCGCCCCACGACCTCTTTGCAGGCTAGAGGAACCTTCCGGCTTCGAGAATGGAAGACGACGATCTTTATTACGATGAGCTCGTCGACGGAATTTCAGCGGACGAGTTATTGGCGCTCGTGGACAATGCCGATGCGGCGGCATCGCAGCATCAACTAGCCGCCAGCGCACCCCGCCAGCAGCCTATCACCCCTCCACAGCACGCGTTATACCAGTACAACTCCGGCGCGCAAACCTCCCATGGCGAGCCCTCTGTCCTTCGGCCACCGTCCAAGCTGCTTCGGAATCCGATCAGCTTTGGCGACACAGATACCCAAAATCTGGACGCTGGGGTGTTGGACGACGGGGGCGGACCGTCCCCTGTCGAAGAGCATCATGCCGGATTGCAAAATGCACCAGATCGTGCCGAAGATGTCTGCCATGCCGGGGTGGAAGCTATTGCGGCACCCAAAGGACGTACTGAGGCTCTTAGGAAAAGACTACCGCGTGGTGAAGACACTGATGCTGGCAGTGAAATGATGCTGGTACCCGATGAGAGCAAGCATGGAATCGATGTCGATGACCAAACCATGGACGTGGACGACATGATGGACCAGATCCGGCGGGTGTGTTTTTCCCTCCTTGGCTATTCTTGGACGTTAATATTTCTGACCCACGATTACAGCTCACGATGGAACGCGAGCAACTATTCCAAGAGCTGGCTTCCGTGAAAACGGAGGCTGAAAAACGAGCTGGAGAGATCGCTATCATACGAGCCAACCACATAAAGGCGGAACAGAACCACAGCCGCCAAATAAGTGCATTGCAGAATGCTCTAGATGAAGAGCTGAAAAAACATCAGGCCCAGATAGACGCTGCTATGACGGAGAGCAAGCGTATGGCAACTGAAAACCAATTTCTCAAGCAAGACTTACGGGAGGAGACACTTCGGCTCAACGAGATACAACAAAATCGGAAAGCCGTGGCTAAAGCCGACGACGCGGCACCCACGACACCCAGGAAGACGAGAATGCTTCCTCTCCGAGATGGGTTTGACGATGACGAGATAATGGCGTCTCCGAGCAGGTCGGCCGGGCGAAGATCGAAACGGGGGACTCCATCTGCTGCGGGAAAGCGAAAACGGGCTGTAGCGGACGACTCCCCTATTACCGCTCCACTCCAGCTCAGCCAGTCCTTTGAATCAAATCTGATGGAGGCAGCGCAGATGGACCCCGTGGATCTGGATGCGCGACTGGTAAAGCCACCTAAAGAAGATTACAACATCAAAGTTGTTCGGAAAATTCTGAACCACAAGTCCTACCCATGCAAAGTTCGCGACCTGGAGGCCTTTGCGAGCATCTCGTTTCCAAAAGAGCCTGAACGGATGTTCTCCTCCTATATCTTGCAAGCAACTACAACAAAGCCTTCAGAAAACTTTGCGGTGGAATACGCAAAGGCCGTGATCTCGCTATGGGCTCGTTCGCTGAGAGAATCATTCTACGACCCGATTTTCATGTTTATGTCAATCATCAAATTCATTCTGAATCTGGACACTACCGCAATTGCTCCTCTTCTTGTCATCGACCTGCTGCCGGTGCTGCATAACTCTGTCTACGTCAACGGGGTGCCGAGATTTACTAACTCGCCAGTCTCTCATCAGAGTTACGGGCAGATAAAACAGACGCCCCAGAAGGATCTGGATCACCGGGTAAATGCTACAGAAGCACTCGAAATCCTCTATCTCACCGTCAGCGGATGTTGCCATGACCACGATGCCCTTCGCCTCTTTTGGCAATCAGTCGATTATGACTTCATCCTCATAATGTTGAACCCCTACCAACCAATCAGGGACATTATCACCGTCCTCAATATCCTCTCGTGCAGTATCCTGCCCACATCATTTGGACCCATACTCAAAACCGAAGCAGATCAACTTACAAACCAGAAGTACATCATCGACCGCCTTGCCAACCTGCTGCACGAGAAACCTGCCGTCGACGAAGGTGAGAAGCCCTACACGCCGTGGGAGGTTGCCACCCTGCGCATGGAAGCCATGTCATTCCTGCTGGAGGTCGCATTCTCCTGTCCCTCCCCGGACCCGCAGCGCAACCAGGCAGGTCGCATACTCGCCACGCATCCGAGCGCCTTGGCGCGGGTCTTCCGCGCCATGCACGACGAGCTCGACGCGCTCTACTCGTATCCTCCAGAACGGGAGCTACACGCTGCGCTCGTCAACGGTCTTACCCGTCTCGCTTACGGCATCCTCACGATGTTTCCTGGCGAGGTCGACCTGTCGCCTAAACTGCGCGCTGTGCCTGGCGCGGTACAGAAACATCTAGTGGTGTTGACGAGGTTAGCATTTAGTGAAGGCCCGTTGTTGGAGAGTGGGATTACGGATGATACGGTTGAGATGGCCCATGAGATGTTGGAAGATGCGGTTAATCCACAGGAGGCGGAAGCGTTGCTGGAAGCGTTTAGGTCGTCGAAGGCTGGCGAGTAAGTGAGTATCTTTTATGGAGTCCTAATTGCGCCTATGGCGACCAGTTAGGCTATGGAATCATGATGAAATGTCTCGTATATAGCACTCCTCCCTTTTTTTTTCTTTTTCTTTTTTTTTTTTTCCTCGCAATTTTTAGCCACGGGTCACGGAGGACCCTAATAAGCATTAGACGTGCATGAAGCGGATTCGAATTCGATGCGGATACCCTTCCTGTGGCTTAATAGAAAGCATATCCCATGTTCAATACATCCACCTACTTTGGCCACTTGAATATTTGGATTTGTAGGGAATAGGAGGCGTTGATCTTTTAAATGCCTCTCAGCGAAGGAGTTTTCAATGTTCCGCGGCCACTTGCATGCAGGCCATTCATATTAATTTTCAAATGCCAGAATAGAACATATATACACAGAATACAAAGCATTAATGAAAAGGAGCGAAAAAAAACAGAGCTCCTTCCAGCTCCATTCTCGGATGCTTACAATCTAAAACAATTCGCATAATATGTCACCGTGGCGGGCCAGTCCGAAAATATTCCAATGACTCCGACTTGCCTCGCCAAAACATCCACGACCTCATACATATCACCATCATCCTTCACTGCCGACAGCACGGATTTGTAATAGTACTCATTGTTTGCAGCAACGTCCTTCAACGGACCCGAGCGTTCCAGCGACCACGTAATCAATTGAATGCCCGCCTTCTTGGCTGCTTTTGCGTACTCGGACGGTGTAATGCGATTCTGTGAGTCCGTCGAGAGCAGGGCCCAGATTGGAGGTGCTAGAATTCTGACGCCCTTTTGGGCAAGGGCTGGCATGTCCGCGATAGCCTGCTTGAGTCCGGAAGGTGAGTCAACGCGGTTGTCCAGGTAGGCGGCTTGCTTGCCAAACGCGGGCTCGTGACGGAGCCAGTAGAAGATGTCGTCCGGCAGGAATGACTGCGCGAAGACACGGCTAGGGTGAATGCGGGCGGCTTTGTATTCATCGATCAATTGCTGCGCGTATTGTTCCTGCGTATAGTCCCCTTCAAAGGGCATTGGAACCTGTGGAGTCTTGAGTTCTGGGGTGAACTTGAGGCCTAGGGAATTGGTGATTTGAATGTATTCCTTGTGGCTGAGGAGAGTGCCACAGGATTGAGCGTATAGGGTCGTCCTCCATTCGGGGGTGCCGCCGAGGAATTCTTCCGGTGTCTGAGCAGTCTTGTCGGAGGAGTCCATCTTGCCGCAGAGGGTTTTGAATTCGGCGAGGGCGAAGTCGCTCGTACAGCATTTTGCGCTGGCAGGCTTTCCATCCTTCGCAGGCGTGAACGGTTTTGTGCACTTTTTGGCGAGTTCAGGAATGGTGAGGACGTTGGTGGTCGTGTGGAGGTCGCATTGGGAGTGTCGGCAGACGAGTTGACGGTCCTTGGTAAAGGCGACATCGCACTCGAGAATCCCTGCGCCCATGCGGGCAGCGGCGTACAGACCCTCCTTGGTATGCTCTGGGAACTGCAATGGCGCCCCGCGGTGGCTTATCGAGAAGTCTGTTCTGTGTAGCCGTTTCTCAGAGCAGGATTGAAGCTTCTGCTTAAGCGGACTATCGTCCATCAGGCTAACGAGATAATCCGGGCGGACACCAACTTGGATATTCCTGACTGAGCCATGGGGCTTACTAGAGGCCGGCTGAGAGGGAGCAGCGTAGGCAGAGCCCAGGGCTCCAGTCACCAAAGCGATGGTAGTAAGCCGCATGGTTTTATCGAGCCCTGACTCACAAAGGGGGCCAAGGGCAAGGAGACAGGTTGAGAGAACGATGTTGGCCCAGTCATCTTGAGGGGGGCATCCGCTCAGCTTTTATGCGTCGTCAACCGGTATCGCTTCCAGCACGTGTGAACATGCCGGGAGAACCTTGGGCCCTCATCCCAAGGTCGCGAGATGCCATTGTGGGTACACACAAAGCACGGCACCGCGACCCTGTTGCGCGCTCTCCCGGGTGTGGTTGCTTGTGCAGCGATCCAGGGATTTCATTGCTCAGTGGTGGCCTGGGGCGCTATCCCCATCCCGGCTTGGGTTTGGGAACGCCTCCGCCCACGGTCTTAGTTCTCGACCGAAGCTCAGTCTTCAGCTCATCGCATGGCTACTTTGACGCACGGGAGAAAGCTGCTTGGGAGCTGAACGGCGCCAAAGTTTGGTGTCTATCCCGTTTTTTTGGAACCAGATGGTAGATAGCACTGGGTGCTGTGTTCTTCTGCAGCTCGTCTGAGCTTTCCGGATGCCAAGGAACTCTCAAAGGGATCTCATCCATTCTTGCAGCCCATCCACATTCGCCGGCACTGCTATTAAGAGCGCGTCAAAACTGAATTCTAAGGAAGAAGCCCTGGAGCAATCTCTCAGGGAATTCCTCCGTCATCTATAATTATTTCCTTTTTCGGGCTCTTTCGTGGCTGTTCAAGCGAAAGTGGCTCGAACGAGGCTTGGAACGGACGTGAAAGCCGGATAAACTATAACCCGAATCCGATGGATTGCCTCACGTGATATAACAATTAAGTTTATTACATAACAAGGTTTTCCAGCTGTAATGATCACGTGATATTCTCGTCTTTTGAATGTCGAAATTTCCCGCCAGCGAGCGAGAGGGCGGAAGGCCGAGCATCTCAACGAAGCAGTTTTCCCTGCCATTGCGACTGGACACGATGCGGAACAGGTGCTCTCTTCGTCTTAAATCGCCGGTCAGTCCCTGAGATTGCGCCTCCCTTTGTGATTTCCTGGGGTTTCTTCTTGCAGATTGAGCATAACTGACAATCTTCATAGAAAGTTCGGCAATCATGGAGCAAATACAACCTCTACAACCTCCAGCGCCTGACTCCCCCCTACACGACCACTAAAACATTCTTTCAGCAAAAATGGGCCGCAAAATCCCTTGCCCGTGCCTATCACGGAGAACAAGTACGCGAGGGCCAGTGGGAGCGGATGTTTGCACGCCGGCCGAGATCCGTAGTTCCAATGGATGCGAGATACCTGGCGAGAAACGACGGTTCGCTCGAGTCTGCCGGGCGAGGTTCCGGGCTAGAACAACCGCCATCTAAAGGCGGCGAGGAGGGAAAAGTGTTTCGGAGGTCGCTTCCGCCGACGCCGTACATGCAGATGACTTTTGCACCGCTTGAACGAAGATTGGACGTGGCTATCTTCCGTGCCATGTTCGCCAGCAGCACGAGACAGGCAAGACAATTTGTTGTCCACGGGGCAGTTACAGTGAATGGAAAAAAGGTGCGTCTGCATCGCTGGATGTGGATTGAACCCGGCATCACTTGGGATTGGCTAACGCTCAGAACAGATGCAATATCCAGGATATTTACTCAACCCGGGCGACCTTTTCCAAGTTGACCCGGAGCGTGTTATGTTTGCCACAGGTGCCCCAAAAGATGCCAAAGAGAGACGCGCTGGCCGTATCCGACGACGTCTAGGCCGCACCGCACAAGAACAGGACACCGAGAAGGCAGAAGACAAGAAGGAAACGAAACAAAAGGAAGAGACCAGTGAATCCAAGGAAGAACCGGAAGATCCTCGCAAGACACTCAAACAACTTTTATCGCAGGCCAAGGCGATCATGTCGAACAGCAAAGACAACATTCCCGCCAAACGTAGACAAGAGATCCGCGGCTTCCAGCGCGCAGTCCGCCGAGTGCTTTCCCGCTCGAGTTCCAGTACCGTCTTAACTGATAACCTCGAAGCACAGTTCCACGAACTCAAGGCCATCCTAACCAAGGACGTTGAACTGGCTTCTGCCTCCGAAACAACCGAGAGCTCCGAAACTGCACGACCTCAACCCTCCGAAGATGCCTCTTCCCCTGCTAACACGAAATCTACCGACTCTGCATCCATGGAAAACCTAACCAAGGCCCTCAAAGAAGCATCTCTCAACCCTTCTCAACTACTAGACGCCTCCACCTTCACGTCCCTCTCCAACACCGATCTAGACGTCCTCAAAGAAGCCCTCATCCAAATCCACGAAAACCCCATCGACAGCACAAAACCATACGCCACTCCCTGGCGCCCACGCGACTACATGAGCGCCTTCGCCTTTATCCCGCGATACCTGGAGGTGAATCACAAGATCTGTGCCGCTGTTTACGTCCGACATCCCGTGGCCAGACCGGGAATGGCCGAAGTTCCCACTCCATTCAACGAGACGATTGGAGGTGCAGCGTTCGCATGGTACTTGAGAAGAAGATGAAGAACGAAAAAAAGCGCCCAGTACATACATATGAGGAGTTATGTTCTTTTATATAATCAGTGTTTTTGGGGGGAGTTTTAGGATTTTCACTTTCCGAGTATGTATGCGACAGCAGTGAAGAGCAAAGTTTTGATTTTTCCCGGGGATTGAATCTACCCGCCTTCATGTACGCCCGTGTTTCTGAGCTGCTGGATGTACTTTTATAAAGGGTATTTGTTAGACGAACTTCTGTATTTGTACGATAGTTGTATAGATGCCTGGCTTTCCCATCAACTTTCAAGTGCATGCATGCAAGAGCGTTTCGGCGACGTCGCCAAAGATTTTAGAAGGACATAAGAAAAAGGCCAATCGCGTTGTGGTATTTTATGTAGCTCTTAAATTACAAGCAAAAAAAAAAGAGAAAATAAAACCAAAGGGAGGGGAAATAAAAGTATCCGGCAGTAGGTCATACAGGGTTTGAGCCCAAATATAAAACAACGTTTTCAGCAAGAGAAGAGGGTGGGAAGGGAGGGAAAAAGCGAGAAAGTGTTCTAATAGTAGAAAGTCTCTTCGACTGTACGTCCACGCATCCAGAGAGGCTCGCTGCCGCGGACGTAGATGTCCTCAAACAGAATGCGAGAATTGGCGTCTGGAACAGGCATCTTCTCAGCCTCCGCGACCTCAGAGTCAACAAAGCTGCGGGTCTCCTTGTCGATTGTCTTCAGCTCCTCTTCGGTCGTAACGTTCCAGTCCAGCAGCTTGTGCTTAAGTCCTGCGATTGGATCGTTGGTGCTACGCATGCGCTGGATCTCTTCACGGGTTCGGTACGTGGTGCCGGGATCGGACATGGAATGACCACCGTATCTGTATGTGACGTATTCGAAGACGAGGGGTCCGTGTCCAGCGAGAGTGTATTCGCGGCCGTACTTGACGGCGGCCTTGATGGCAAGGACGTCCATTCCGTTGATCTTCAGACCTGGGATGTATTGGCCACGTTTGTAATAATCGGTCATGGCAGCAGCACGGTTAGCCGCGGTACCCATTCCGTATTTGTTGTCTACGTAGCCATTAGCCATTTTGTTTTTCTTTCATCCTTCTCGGAGTGAGAAAATTCGAATAGTCCAAAAACACTTACTCTCACAGCCGAAAATGACAGGGAGATTCCATAGCTTCGCCATGTTGAACGCTTCAAAGACTTGTCCTTGGTTGGATGCTCCATCGCCATACAAGCAGATTGTAGTGTTCTGCTTGCCCTCGTATTTCTGAGCGAACGCCAAACCGGCACCCACTGGAACCTGAGCACCGACGATACCGTTACCTCCGTAGAAACCTGGCGCAAACATATGCATAGATCCGCCCTTGCCATAGGCAATACCCTCACGGCGACCAAGCAGTTCACCGACTATCGACTTGATAGTTCCACCGCGCATGTACGCGAAGCCGTGGCAACGGTAGGCAGTGATCAATTTGTCTTCTCTATCGAGTGCGTGCTCGATGCCGACGGCGACGGCTTCCTGGCCGGTGGATAGGTGGCAGAAACCGCGAATCTTCTTTTCTTTGTATAGACGATCAGAGGCCATCTCCATGCGTCTGAATTCGTACCGTTAGTCGCCAGAAGGACTCCTCAGTCACGAGAGTTCGGCATTTGGAAACGTACCTTATGGCCACCATATCACGGTACATCTGCTTGAGCTCTTTCTTTGTTACTTCTAGCGTGTATGGGGGAGGATCGAGCTCGTATGTTTCAAAGCTCTCATCGGAGAGCTTGATTGTGAATGGTTTATCATCTTCCTATGATGCTATTAGCCTGCAATTCTGTTTGGGAAAACTTGCTGGAAACGTTGTTGAATTGGACGAAATCGTACAGCTGGGACATTATCAGCATGCGCCGAAGCAGCATTGGTGGTCACTGATCGGCGAGCGACGGAAGACGGGAATCGACCCAGCTGGGCGGATGAGCGAGCGCGAACAAGCCTCGAGAACATTTTGTGGAAAAATTCAGCAACTCCAGACCAACCAAAAGCACGCAGAAGAGGAGGAGAGAGCCTGGAGCGGAGAGGTATTTTGTTCACCAGAGAAGCGTTGGGGGAGATCGAAGCTTGAGTTCCATCGACAACCTTGTTAGGCGGCGGCTGCTTAGTCAAATGCAACTCACTCCATAAACTAACTAACTAGCAAACAGTGCAAACACGCATTTTCGCTACATCGACACACTCCAGCGAAGCCCGAGCTCGCCTCCCAGGGCCCATTCATCGACAGCTGGGGTTATCCAACTTCTTCTCGTTGCATGATCCCTTTTTTGGAGTTAGGATATACTTTTTGCCCAGTAACAAGCAACAATGTCTTTGGCAATTCCCAACGCGCCGAACGCCGGCCTTTTCAAACAGGGCTACAACAGGTGAGGAAAGCTTCCAGAGGGCACCCCGCCATAAAAACAGCTCATGCTCATCCCTGCTTTTTTTGTGTTCAACCCCAATAGCTACGATGCCGAAGACGGTGCTGTTCTGCGTAATATCGATGCCTGCCACACCATTGCACAGACCGTTCAGACCTCCCTTGGTCCCTTCGGCCGCAACAAGATCGTCATCAACCACCTTCAGAAGATGATTCTTACCTCAGATGCCGCGACGATTCTACGCGAGCTCGATGTGGTACACCCCGCAGCAAAACTGATGGTTATGGCCAGCCAGCAGCAAGAGGCCGAGATGGGCGATGGCACAAATATGGTCATCATACTGGCCGGCGAACTGTTACGGAAGGCAGAAGATCTCCTGCGGATGGGATTGAAGGCCAGTGATATCGCACAGGGTTATGAAAAGGCGCAGATTTTTGCTTTGAGTTGCTTAGACGGTAAGTGAAGTACTTGCCTGAGATTGCCCAAATACTCTACTTTTCCCCGATAGGAGACCCAAGCATGTCTGACTCTTTGCTGGTGATTTAGATCTTGAGGTGGACAGATTGCAGCAATTACGGTCCACAGCCGAGTTGGGGAAGGCATTGAAGACAGTGATT